AAAATAGTTTTGGAGATTGATGATTATAATAAGATAACCCTAATGATTACGTATTATCAACCGTTCTAAAAGATGTCTTGTATGTACTCCAGACTCAATTTCTGTCAAATTATTCATTCAAATATTGGTAAATATTAATATAAAATATATTTATTTTCCATTAATATCGCTTTTAGTTTGTGTTAAAAGGAAATATTGCACATATTTTGAGTGAAGTGCATGGAACAGTCCAAGAACTGTAAATTAAAATATTCATTTCTAGGAGGCACTTACTAGGGCAATATTGAGATTTGTTAGCTAGAAATAGGTTCAAGAAAAAGAATGGAGAGAAAAATGCTACTGTGATATATGATATAACGCGAATAGCATGTAAAAAGTATCCGACCAAAGTTAACAAACCGGTGTATCAAATTCATTGTTCTGCTAATTAAAATAAGACCATATCAAACTGGCTATGCTTACTAGTCTTTTAACAAAACCGTATCAACCTTTCATCCAAATACTTATTCACCTATACGTGGTTGCACATATTTTCACCCTTCTTTACTGACCAAGCTAATATGCTGATCGTAAGTGTCTTAGAAATACTACGCTTATCATGGGAAAATTTTTATGTGAATCAGGACGTTTGTGTTGTACTTCATTAAGCTTTCTAACTTCATTTTTTCGAAAAACTCCTGTACTGTTTCTTTATGATCTTTTACTTTACAGGTAAAGATCAACATCTTTAAAACGGTTGCCTTAATGTGACCTGGCTTAGAACACGCTAATTTATATTGTTACATTATTTCTGTTTTCCAAATCAACAAAATCATCATGAACCGTTAGATTCATTTCTCTTTCTTATTTGAGTGCTAGTTATGAATTATAAAAGCAAGTGTGTTTATTTTTAACTTGCTCAACTGAAACATTTTCGAAAAGAGATGTTTTATCAGTTAATTATCAACATTTCTGAATGTAAAACAGATATTTTGGTGTCGTGAACACATTTAATTTACAGGTCTGTGACCAGTCAAAAACACAGAGAATGCAATTTATACTGAGTCATAAAAGAGATAATTAAGTGATACACCAGACTTGATCGAATGTATAGGAACCAGTTGCTCCATAAAAATAAGACTGCTTGGCTTTGAAAATAAAAGCCATCGAAAGTAAATATTTTTCACTGTAATGTTTGTTTTACATCTCAACACGAATTATAATTTCGGTCAAAGTCCTCAAAAGCTGAATTTATTTATGATAAATATCCACAACTAAATTGGTCATTCGAAGTATTCATTAACAAATATCAAGTGGAACTAATAAATTTTTTTACCTACAAAAGTTTTCCGCTTGAAAATTTCTAAAGGTAAGGTAACAACAAGATGTGTAAAAGTTTTTCATTACACAACTTATTCATGAAATAAATTTACTGGAATTCAATAAAAATCCACCCAGTGCTCGATTTATTTGAAATAATCAAGTCAAACCTTGATAATGACATCTAAATTATTTGCTACTGTAGATTTTGTAAATCAGGCAGGTTTGCTGCAGTCACTCACAGTAATCCTAAGCCTCTATATAATTAAACAGGATGAAGTTAGCCGACTCTGTCAGCTTTAGGACTAAGTCAGTCGACTATAACGTAAAACTTCGTGCACATGTCCATAAGTTAAACTTGCCATACTACAGTAGCACAGAGATGCAATTGTCAAATCGAATCCCATGGCAGTGGCGGTAGTGCAAGTATGAGCAGTCATCGGAAAGATTACGGTCCCACTACATCATCCTAGAAGTATAATCCAGTGAGAGAGACCTGAGAGAATGAAGATCAAGGACAGTAGAGGTTTAGATTATGGTTTGAAAGAATACAAGTAGTGAATGCACCGGCGCCATCGCAAATGATTTTGAGCCATATCATTCAAGGTCTCTAACTGTCAGTCACTATCACCTTGTAAACCCCTACCACATAGTCTATATCTACAAGCACAACTCAATCCATTTGTCAATGATTTCATGGATTTGTGCAATGTTTTGGTGTGGCCGCCCACAGCTTTCTTCCGACTTACCACTACACCACAAAACGTCACTCGTCGAGGCGGTCGGCGGTTTGGCACTTGTAACACATGAAGTTTCAACACTTTATCTATTGATCTACCATCCTTACCTAGGACCCATTTCCTAACTGCGGCATCGCTTACTCGGTTTTCCCCGGATACACGATCAATGCTTCCAAGATACTTATGATCGGGAACCATTACCCTACGAATATCTTCTACTCTGACTCGCTATGTTTCACAGTCATGAAGTAAGACGAAGCGAACTGCTGAGCAGTACACTCGTCCTTTGGTTATCAGACGGATATCTCACCTACTCCATAAATGACATAAGTTGGCAAAAGCCAATCGAGCTTTCTGTATTGGTGCTAAGATTTCGTCAGACACCAGGCAATCAGCACTGATGAGACTCTCGAGGTGAGTGAAGCGGTCGACACGCTCAACTCCTCTGCTCCCTATCAGTAGTTCAGGTGCCGATGCAACCTGCATCCCGAACATTTTTGGATTGTTGCATAGGGTGGTCAGAAGACACTTTATTTTGTCAGAATCTTCACTGAATGGAACAATGTCATTGGTACATTCTAAGTCCAGAAGGGAATCTACTGTTAAACATTCGATTCCTGACAAATCACACGAAAAAAGTGTTATCTCTAAAAGCATGTCTACGAAGAAGTTGAATGAGAATGGAGAGAATGAGCAACCCTGACGAATACAACTTGAATCAATCAGTTCCGATGCCGAAGCTCTGATCCGGCCAATTTAGTTTGATTAAAGAGCCCGTATAAGGTTAATGAACTTCTTTGGTATTCATTTCAATGACACGCTGCCATTGAACCTCACGATCAACAGAGTCAAATGCCACTTTACAGTTGAGAAAGACCACTATTGTGGGACTTCCGAACGTTTGTCTATGTCCTAGGACATAAAGTAATAGGAATATCTGGTTTATACAACTACTTCTAGGTCTGAAACCAGCCTGATTGTCTTGAGTCTACTCTTCACGAGCTCGACTTAGGCGTCAGAGTATTATCGAGGCTAATATTTTGGATATTATATTAGTCAAACTGATTACTCAGTGATTGTCACAAGAGGAATTTTGTCTTTTCTTATAGACTGGGACATTCAGTGATTGAGACCAGCCAGATGGGATTAATTCAAATAGTGTTTTAACCCCTGACCGTAGCTGCTACCTTGACGTGGTGGTCGGGCTGGCCTATCGTGATGACCTAACCTAGCTTTATTGGCTGGAACATATGTTCCTGAAAGTTCTGCCATGCCAGGCAGGTTGATTGGAGAACGATGAGACTAAAAGCAGCTACTCAAGTTCTGAGGTCGAAGTCCTACTGCTAACCGCAGAGGGGTATGACAGCAGTAAGGTGTTTCCCTCGGACAACCAGCATCTGCGACGATACTGAGCTCTCAAAGAAGGAAGGGTTGAAAAAAGTCGACCCTAAAATGTCACACCTCACATTTCATCATAGATTTCCGTCTCCAGCGGTAAGGGCTTCCTACTAAGGGCTTTTAAACAAGAGCGGAGCTAATATTCAAAAAACCTCTCATAAAAAGGTCGTGCGTGACCGACCTTTAGCAGATCTACCTTGGGCTCTGTGGTCACGCTTCCGGGTCGTTAAGATAAACGCAAATCTACTTACTTTTTCAGGTTCGTCAAGAAACACCCTTCCACGATGTGGGCAGCCGGGAAGTGACATCCACCCTCATATCCATAAAAGCACACAAGACCGAATTGATCACAATCAAATCCTTTCTACACCTCTTAATAACTCCTTGCAACCCATTATGCTTAATGTTAACATAGTGTCTTAGAACATCAAGCCAAGCTGATCTTATTCTAAGTTTGCTGAGCTACGTTCATGGATGTAAAAAGCTAGTAACAGATAATTTGAGAATATTGATGAGGTTTGTCTTTAAATGAAAGAATTCAACTGCTCGAGAGGATTTTCAATAATAAGTGTTACTTTAGAGACTTCCTAAAATGAACTTTTATAACTAGTTACAATTTTCACGGTTTAGTTTACATCCGATTTAACAGATCAGGATACATCCTAAACTTTGTTGAAACGTTATGGCTTTATGGTAGAATTTTATCTAGTTCTGTAAATAAATCTATTCAGAGTACATATTGATAACTTCAAAGAAAAAAAATACAAGTTCCTATACTCAGCTTTCGGCTTTACACTTTATTCTAATCAGAAACTAAAAGTAAATTCAACAAAAGAAGATTTTGGTACTTTGATACAGTCCTCAAAAGTAGTGTTTGAACCAATAAGCCAAAATTATTTGATCAGTCATGAATCGTTCGTCCTTCGTCTACTTAGTTAGGAGCTTGATTTACCTTCCATAATTCATACGACAAGACCTTTCTTGTGATTATTAATAATATCATACAATACGGGGTTCAAATCCAAGAACATGAGTCAGTAGTTATTTACAGCGTTGAAGTAATTAACGTGTAAATGGTGGTTTTAAAATCTGTTAACGTTTCGACAGTAGCAACAATTTCAGTTAATCACCTTTCAAACTAGTTATAACTACTAATTTGTCGCTTACTTTTGATTATAACACTTAACTTTTATCTCTTCAGTCTCTGTTCACTCACCGACGTGGAACTATTACTGACTACTTTCTGGCAGGAAGATTTGTTACCTGGCTTCCGGTAAAACGCCGTTGATTTATTTAGTCTTCAGATTGGTGCTTCTTTGTTTGCCACTAATATTGGTAGTGAACATTTTATAGGATTGGCGGGTTCAGGAGCAGCATCGGGGATAGCCGTTGGTGCTTTTGAATTAAATGTACGATGTTGATTTTTCACTTTGAGAATGCTTTCAGGCGTCAATTATATTGCAGTTGCTGGGTTGGATTTTCCTTCCTGTCTATATTGCTAGTGCAGTAAGTTTAGTATAAATTAAGCTAATGAATTTTCAGGTCAGTACTCTTCCTGAATATATGAAAAAACGTTTTGGTGGAAACCGTATCCAAACGTATCTGGCCGTTATTTCCTTATTGCTGTATATTTTTACTAAAATTTCTGTGAGTTTATAGACTTTCAAATTTTAGGTAGTTAAAAGTGATGAACTCACTTAAGTCGTAAAAAAATTTAAAAAAATATCTATTTAGTCTTCCTTGAGTGAAGATGAATGTGTCACATAAAAGAGATATATCCTTTATGATCATAGTTGAAAAGTAGATAGTTTAAATCTAAAATGTTTCGTAGATACATTTTTGTTGATTTGAAATTAGTGATTGTTATTCTGACAGACGTCAGACTGAATACTATCATAGTCATTAACTGTAACTATTCACTGTGATTATTCATTCAGTCAAACATGATATTCTCTTACTGAACAGATACCTGTTAGATTATGCTTTGAGAGGTGACTTAATTTTATAAAATAAGAAATTACCAGCTCTTTGCATTATAATACTCAGTATCTGTCATCACTCTTTGATATCATAAATTTGATGATTTCACTATATTTCGTTTGCATTCTAGGCGCTAACACAATAAACAAAGATTAATAAACACTTTGAAGTTTAATCGTAAAGATAGATCAATAACACTACAAACGAATTCTCATTAATTATTATTATCGTATTTTTTTTAAATGATGCTGATTAATTTAGCAGAAAGATAGGGATTGGTGCAAATAAGGGTTGAAATTGAGTATTCAGAAATGTAAACATTATTCAACGAAAACACAACTATGATTATTATCATAAAAGGGTTTAGTAACGGTTTTATGTTTTACTTCTATTTCCAATCGATCATTACATATATCGATAATGTGAGCTTATCTTGGCTCGTATGTATGCTTGACAAGGTAATACTTTCAATATACTATGATCTAGAGTGTGTGATATTGAAACTACTTCTTATTCGAAGATATTGTACCAATGAAATGAATGTAAATTATTATTATTATCTCTTGTCAATGGTAACTTCGGACTTAAAAACCTACCACTTTTTCTATAATTTTTTAAATTGCTTTAAATTTTCTCAAAGCTATATTCAATTCAGATGATTTCTTCTAGTTATCATTATATCTAAATTTGCTGGTTTGTGACTTACTTACTTACACCTATTACCACCAATGGAGAGAAGGCCGCCGACCAGTTTTCTCCAACCTATTCTCTCCTCAACTTCCTTTTCCAGTTCTGTCCAAATTTTGTTCATTCTTCTGATGTCTTTCTCTATTTCCCGGTGTAATGTGTTCCTTGGCCTTCCTCTTTACTTTTCACCTTGAGAGCTCCATAAGAGGGCTTGTCTTGTGATGCGGTTGGGTGGTTTTCGTAGTGTGTGTCCTATACACTTCCACCAATTCTTCCTGATTTCCTCCTCCACTGCAATCTGGTTTGTTCTCTCCCACAGCAAGTTGTTGCTGATAGTGTCTGGCCAACGAATCTGAAGTATTATGCGTGGACAACTGTTAATAAACACTTGTATCTTCTGGATGATGGCTTTGATAGTTCTCCAAGTTTCCGATCCATACAGTAGAACTGTCTTGAAATTTGTATTGAAAATCCTGATTTTGGTTTTGGTTGAAAGTCGTTTGGAGTTCCAGATATTTTTCAATTGTAGAGATGCAGCCGTTGCTTCACCGATCCACACACTCTCTTCTGCATCGGATCCACCTTTCTCATCGATGATGCTGTCCAGATATGTAAAGTTGTTTTATCGGAGAATTTTGCTTTTTTACTTTATGTATATTGAGACCCGCTGCTGCTGAAGTTCCTTCTACACTGGTCATCTCTTGCATTTGTTGTTGCATGTGCGATAGAAGATTCAGGTCATCTGGGAAGTCCAGATCGTCCATCTGCATCCTAGCTGTCCACTGGATACAGTGCTTTCCTCCAGATGTTGAAGTCTTCATAATCCAGTCGATTACCAGGAGAAAGAGACAGAATGAGAGTAAGCAACCCTGTCTGACAGTGGCCTTTACTTCGGACGAGTCTGCCAGCTGTCCTCCGTGCATGATTTTGCAATTTAATCCATCTTAAGAATTCCTTATGATGTTGACTATCTTCTCAGGCACGCCGCAGTGTCGAAGAAGCCTCCATAGTGTTTTCCTGTCCACGCTATTGAATGCTTTCTCGTAGTCAATGAAGTTGATGTAGAGTGGTGAGTTCCATTCAATTGATTGTTCCACAATGATCCGTAATGTAGCAATTTGGTGGGTACACGATCGATCCTTCCGAAATCCAGCCTGTTGATCTCGAAGTTGGGCGTCTATGAAGTCCTTCATTCTGTTCAACAATACTCTGTTGAAGACTTTGCCCTGGTATTGAGAGAAGTGTGATGCCTCTGTAGTTCTCACTTTACACTGTTGCTTGTATTTTCGTGACTTTGAAACTTTACCAATCGGATAAAGTTTCTCAACCTCTCATTATTGGTTTATAGGCTAGCTAACACTAGATATCAGACAATTAAGTTACCTACGTTGGGCTACAACCACTGACTGTTTAAGAGGATTTACTCATTGAAATTAACTGCTGTAAAATTTTTGAATTAAGTTTCATAGTGGAATACAAAGTCTCAAAGTTTCACTGTATTAATAAAAGTGCCGTTTATTGACGACAATTTTAATTTTCATCCATTGTAACTTTTGCAAATAATTAACAGCTTATTCAGGTGAATTGTATTTTGTAAATATACATGATAATTTTTTTTCAATAAACTAATCACATTCAAAACTGTCATACTTTTTGCGAGAATCAGATTGAAGTTATTTAGAAACCTCTTTTTTTTCCTTGCCTCATCCAAATCTTTGTCATATCCTAGTTTTTAAGATAAAAAGTTGAATAATTATGTTATTTTTCTGAAAGCATACTCATTTGTTCTTAGGTGAATTTATACTCTGGCTCTCTGTTCTTAGCAGAAGCCTTGGAGTGGGAAACATGGTTGTCAATTATTATACTTCTCAGTATTACAGCTCTTATAACAGTAACAGGTTAGTTAACAAGAAACATGTAGTTTGATAGTCAACTTATTACTGAGCATCCATAAAAATGTCATATTTTGATGAGTATTATGTTTTCTAAATGCAAATAATTATAATACTTCTGGATGCATCTACCCTCTAATGATTCATTGTTGAAAGGAATATGCAGTGTGGGAAATTGGATTTGATAAAAAAAATGTACCCGATTTTCATCTTTAAAAGTAGAAATCTACAAATTTCTGGTTATATTATGCGGTGTAATGTTGTATCAGTGATTAGATAATAACAATAAAAGTTTGAACAAAACTCATGTCATACATGAAATCTACATTACAAGTCTCTTATTGATTATTTCCAATCAATCATAGAATAATTCACTATTTTATTATGCTGAAAAACTATGCAATTGTGTGTCATTCGTGACTTTGCAATTTTAGATATAATTTGTATGTCTTCTACATGGAGATAATTTAGAAACTTTGACTTTCATTCTGAAATGGTCAGTGTTCGGGTGAATTGTTTAAATGAACACAAAGAATAGGACGAAAGTGTTTGCCTTCATCTCTGTAATATACATCTGTTTGCACAATTCAATACAGAATACTGATTGACTTTAAAGAAGCTTGTAATATTACCAAATTTCGGAGTAGTATTTTGGATGAGGTAATGCTAAGTCAAGGGATTTTTTTTTAGCTGATTAATACTATATATATAGATCAGATCTTCATAACCCTGATGATCTTTGGTAATTCATTCAGAAGTTAGTTTCACCTTGAGAGTGGAGAATGAATTGCTTACTGTTTATTTTTGCAATTATTTGTTATTAACACAGTTTGAATTTTGTTTGCGTATCATTTGGCTAGCTTATATAATTGTAGTTTACTGTCAACAGGTTATGAAATTTGGTCTAATTTCCTAATCCACTCAAGATGATTTCGTTTTTGACTTGCTACTAAGATATTAAAATTGATATGTTTTTTGATAATAAGACTATAGGAATAAAGATTTTGTTTTTGTAATTACTAAGTTCCTTGTTAATGAATGGCTGATGCATGAATGAATCTACTGATTGATTGTGGAACACTTGTTACATTACTACATTCATGAATTAACTTTTCATTTCTATTTGTGTTACTTTTCTATCTAAGGTGGACTTGCTGCTGTCTTATACACTGATACCCTTCAGTTTTTTGTTATGATCTTTGGTGCCACTGTGCTAACCATATTAAGTAAGTAAGCTGAATTTTGGTAATAGTACTAATTTTAAAGCAGAATCTCTTAGTGATCAAATATTTTAGTATATTGTTTTTTTAAAAAAACGTTTAGTGAATATATATTTTTCACTGTTTTGAATCTTCTCAAAAAATTCACGTCAGATGTAATTTGTTGTTTCACAAATCTGTTCATATTAAATTCAAGCAGATTGGTTTAAAAATTTCTACTATCGCCTCTTGCAACCTTAGTTACAGTATTGATTTAATGCATCTACCACTGTTGTTTGATGTGTTCTTTTTTTTCTTTTTCATATTTATTTAATCGTAACTTAATATTCATTACAGGTTTTATCAAAGTTGGTGGCTTTCAAGGACTTCTTGATGCATATGGTGGAGCGATTGCCGAAGTCGACATCTCATCGAATGATGGAAAAAACTTATTGAATTCAATGATATCAACAGTTAAGACAAAAAATATAACATCATTATTCGAGTTATCTAGTGAACCAGGCGTTGATTCTCGTTTAAAATGCAATCTTCCGTCACGAAAAGCGTTTAGGTTACTTAGAGAAATTAATGATCCAGATATGCCATGGCTCGGCTTCTTGCTTGGACAAACTCCTTCTTCCATTTGGTATTGGTGTGCTGACCAGGTATTTAAATAACTTTATGATATCTATATCTATATCTATATATATACACACACACACACAGAGAGAGAGAGATAGAGTTATGATGATAACTACACTGAGTGGTTTCTCGGACAAAATTCTAACATTGTATTTAGCATGATTTCATAAATAATTGAAATCAATCAATTTATTATTGATTATTTACGATAATCATTTGTATAGGACAAATGATGAAAGTAGTTCTTGTCTTGTCTGTAACAACGAACATGGTATTAATAATAATAATGATAATAATAATAATAACAATGTTATGAGAGCTTGAACAGTGATCATTATACATACATACATACATACATACATACATGCATACATTCTATAATAATAGGAATAATAACAACATTAGGTAGTAGAAATTGAATTCAATCAATCGATTCATTCAGATAATGATTGATACATTGAAGTTTAACACTTCTTCATTTGACTTGATTGGTTTTCTTATTTTTTTTATAACAGATCTTTATTAGTTTGATACACTGTAAATTGATGTTCTTTTGATTAAAAAACAAAATCCAGAGCAAATTCGATTGGATCATGGGATTATGGAGGACTTAATTATCTAGTGATATTCTATCAAACACATTTTTTAAATTTCACATATATATATATATATATATATATATATATATATATATATACAGTGTAAAATAATTCACATGCACATTGATAAATCACACATTTGGGAAAATACATTGATGAAAGTTGTATATTAGGAAATTTTTGAAAAAAAAAACATATCCTATGAGATGAGTTATGCATGAGTTAGTTTGTTTAAGAAAGTCAATCAATTTATATCTTATTGTAAAATCTATTTTGCTTTGTTTTTTTTATTTCGTACGAATAAAATTCTTAGTTGTGTGTTGAGTAAACTTTTTTAAAAAAAACAAAAATACAACATAATCAGATATATATAAAATTTAAAAATTTCAAAATAATCTTCACATCTTACACTTATTATTATTATTATTATTATTATTATTATTATTATTATTATGAATGTAACGAGCAAATAATGTGTACATAAAAAGTGTGTGTGTGATTGTGTGTATATATAAATGAATAAAAATAAATGACTATAAATACATGCAATCATCATTACAAATGATATAATACATAGATTGATATTTTTTTTCTGCAATTTTCAAACAGACAAAACTATTACTCTAAATGATGATATTCAGTGAAAACAAAAAAAAAACATTTTGTTTTTTTCTAATTTTAAACTAACAATCATTGTCTACGGTGTGTCTATTTATAAAGAGAAATTAAAAAAATTGATGAACATGTCATTCTATTATAATTATAAAAATGTTGAAAAATTATACAACACAAAATTGACATTATTCTACGCTTAATCTCATATATTATTATCTCTCTTAGGATTACAGTTTAGTCAAATAATTTAAATACTACAGGATGAAGAATTCATAATATTTCTGTTTTTTTCGAAGCAATTAGGAAAGAATTTTATTTGAACATTAAAATAATCAGTTATAAATAGAAGATATAAAAATTTTCATAAAATTATGCCTTATATCGACTGAGATTATTGTATATGGCTAATAACTGGTTAGTTTCTATTCATTTCCTCAAACCAATAATTAGAATCTTAGAACATTAGAAAAGTCAGACAGAAGAAATCTTGTTTTACGCAACCTCCGCCCCTGCCACTCCACCATCCATTCGCCTGATTTAATAAGTTGATTTGATTGCACACGTCAGCTATTAGACAAGCACTTAAAAAATATTCTCTAAATGTATAAATCTAACAATATACATTGATTTTTTTTGTTTGTAATATAAATTTAATCAACACATTTTATATATATATATATAAATATTGATAATTTTAATTCATTATAATTTCTAAATAAAAGAAACAATAAAATATTCCAATGAATAATTTATTCAATAAGAAGGAAACGTTTTTACAATTAAGATAATAATAATAATAATAATAACAATAATAATAATAATTGAAGCCAATTATTATTTCATATTGTCATTCAAACAATGAATTTTCAAGTTTTGCATGTCTAGTTATTTTCATGCATAATCTTTACAAAATTATCCTATTTACAAGGAAACTTATCAAATCAATGTGTTCAATTAGTTGTTGACATCCCAAAAAATAACAAACAAGATATATATATATATATATATATATATATATATATATATATATATGCAGCTGAATAATTTCATTTATGCATTAGTACACAATAAATGAATGATACATTGATGAGACAAAAAGGTGAACAAGATGAATAATATCTATGCATATCATATATACATACAGATATATATAGATATATAGATATGTAAATATTCTTTTTTTTTCTTTTTTGAATAAATTCTACAGAATTCCATTGTCTATTTACAAATAAAATTAAGAAAAAAACAAACAAACAAAGAAACTAGTATTTAATGTTGAAAAAAAATTAAATTGATTTATGCATCAAAATTCATCTAATATATATATGATGAATAATCATTACAAATAACATTTGATAATATTTTTTATTTTATGATATGATTAATTATTCTTTTTTTAAATTACATTTATCTATCAAAATTTTAGATGATGGTTCAACGTACATTAGCAGCAAAGAGTTTATCACATGCACAAGGTGCAACATTAATGACTGGGATCATAAAACAACTTCCAATATTTATTATGGTAATTCCAGGAATGATAAGTCGTGTATTATATCCAAGTAGGCAAATTTTAATTGTTTTTTTTTAAATTTGACTTATCCTTTCAGAAGCAATATTATACTCTTATCTAATACATTACTATGATTAATTGAAACTGTTTACAGATACTGAGAATATTTTGCATAGAGTTGATTTATTTTATTCATCAATTTTTGTCGTACTTCTTTTAGTTAGAATAGTCTGAGAAATAACTATCAATGAACAAAATTAGATTAAAAAAAAAATCAATCCTGTGCTTTATATTCAACTATTTATAAATAAGTTAGAAGCAGTACAGTGTTTTAGTTAAAAGTGAAATTTGTCGAGCTACTAATTATTTATAGCTTCTCTACTAAATTAGCTAAGGTGTTTCCCTCAGACAACCAGCATCTGCAGCGATGCTGCCTTCTCACAAGGAAGGAAGGTTTAGAAAACGTCGACCCTAAAAATGTTACACCTCACCCTCCCTCACGGATTTCCGTCAGTAAGGGTGCCCACTAAGGGCTTTTAAGAGCGGAGCTAATACACAAAAAACCCTTCATAAAAAGGCCGTGCGTGATCGGCCTCGAGCAGTTGTCCCTTGAGCTCTTGGATCACGTTGCCAGGTCGTTAAGACCAACAGTAATCGACTTACCTCTTCAGTTCCCTCAAGAAACACCCTACAATGTTATAGGCAGCCGAGAAGTGACGTCTGCCCTCATACCCGTAACAGCACACGAGATCGAATCGGTCACAATGAAATACTTCCTACACCCCCTAACATCTCTCTTGTTTCCATGTGTCGAACTTCTCACATCCCTTTAAAACCTTGCACTGCCTATGCAAACGATTCGAGTTCCCGAAACGATATTCCTGGTTTCCTGAAATTTCGTACTAAACTACATTTTGAAGCTTTTAATGCCTGGAGATTGTGTCAAATAGGCCAACAGGCTTCCTTAGCTGGGACTCTAGAATATCTATTCATCGATATATGCTGTATGTCCGAAACCCTCAGTTAGGATCAGAACAAAATAATTAATTTGATTTTACCTTGTCCAGATGGATAGTCAACTCGGTTTACTCTGTGTATCTGGAAGCCCTGATGCTGCTTCTTGGGGCCCCGCTAGTGTAAGTATAGTATTCAGTACTAGGGCAGAACTAGCTATCTTAGACTAGATCCCAGTAGACAGTCGTTTGTGCTTCATCTGACTAAACGGGACAGTAAGCACTCGGAAGGATAGGGACATTCGCCGTTGCCTCTTCTTTGTCTCCGCCTAGGCCCCCACTGACTGCAGTTCAGACGAGGTGAAAGACGGGTTTTACAGAAAGCTTTCTGACCTCCTCCAAAAATTAGGCGCACTGATATAGTAATAATGGCTGATGATTTCAATGCTCAAGAAGGTAGACTCAGTGAAAAGGAGAGACACTTGGGTGGATCTTATGGTGTCGTGAATCTAAAATCAGATAATGGCGACTGTCTGTTGCAACTTTGCTCAGATAACCGCCTATTTCTGGCAAACACTAACTTTAGGCATAAAGAAAAAACATCTCTTGACGTGGCGACCCCCAAAGCCAACCCAACGATGGATCCGACTAGACCACACCACTATCAGCCACCTATAGAGTGGTTCGATAGAAGATTGTCGCTCGTTCTGCAGCATATGTCAAGATTCAGATCATGCTCTAGTACGGGCGCGTATTTGTTTGAGACTTACTGAACGTAAGATAAACACCAAAAGAAAACCTCCTAGGGTTCTACTTAATGATAGCATAGCTAAGAATATATTTCAGGAACAAATAGGAAAACAGTTAGGTGATATCCAAAAAGCTGTGGAAACAGCAGTGATATCTGCTAGTAAGGTAAACCATATAGTTAGGGAGAAGCTGTGGATTTCATTAGCATCCACCGAACTGATAGATACTCAGAAACTCATCCCGTCGGCCTCTGAACATGACGAAGAGCGGAGTCAGCTTGAGCGCAGGCCGACAAAAAGCCTTCACAATAGTCGCGGACAGTGGTGGGTAACGAAAGCAAGAGAGAATGGAAAGGTAACGGCGGTAGATCATAAGTACTGCGCAGCAGTTCGCTTCGTCTTACTTCATGACTGTGAAACATAGCGAGTCAGAGTAGAAGATATTCGTAGGGTAATGGTTCCCGATCATAAGTATCTTGGAAGCATTGATCGTGTATCCGGGGAAAACCGAGTAAGCGATGCCGCAGTTAGGAAATGGGTCCTAGGTAAGGATGGTAGATCAATAGGTGAAGTGTCGAAACTTCATGTGTTACAAGTGCCAAACCGCCGACTGCCTCGACGAGTGACGTTTTGTGGTGTAGTGGTAAGTCGGAAGAAAGCTGTGGGCGGCCACACCAAAACATTGCACAAATCCATGAAATCATTGACAAATGGATTGAGTTGTGCTTGTAGATATAGACTATGTGGTAGGGGTTTACAAGGTGATAGTGACTGACAGTTAGAGACCTTGAATGATATGGCTCAAAATCATTTGCGATGGCGCCGGTACATTCATTCTTTGTGTTCTCTTTAATTCTTTTTTCTTCAATTCCTCATCACCTTTATCTTTCTTGAAATCTTTCTCTCGCTTATGCTTTTTGAAATAATATTCTCGAACCCTAATGTTTCTGATTACTGTTAATACTTCCACTACTTTTACCGCTATAGGATTTGAACTGAAAATTGCACCTCTGTGATAATGTGGTGTGGCGACTTGGACTGATTTGCGTACCTACGAAGTTTTACGTTGTAACTGTCTGTCTGATTCAATGTTATGTTAACCACCTAATGATTGATTTTCCAATGGCTTGGCTAATAGTGGTACTACGATTAATAAATACAAATGCAGATTGTTTTTAATCGACATGTAATCAATCAATGAAATGAATAGAAAATATCTTCATCTTGATTATTAGAAATATTGATTTTATTCTTAACACACTAATTTCAATACTTCCAATTTGGAATATGTTATCAACTTATGGAACCAGTTTATACATTTTTTTTAAATAAAATTTTTGCAAATTTTATTTATGCTTTAAACAGTAGGCATTTGACAATAACAAAACTATTGATGACCAAATAATGGAGTTTCTAGCAAGTTAATGAAGAAATAATTTATTCAATCTTCTGTTTAGAAGAAATGAATATTATATTTTGAGTTTTTTAGTTGATTTACCATTAACTAGTGAACAATGTCATGTTAGTCCTAGTCATTTAGTACTGATTGAATTCTATCGATCAAGTAACAATGAGCCTAATAGCTTCAGTAACTCAACATCACATAAACTATGTTCCTGTGTTAGGAGTTAAGGATAGTTGACCAGAAATGATTGATCTAAGTTTCATGCTGTTTCTCACTTATCAGAAAGGTGTAACGGAGCTGATACTCCTTAGTATATTAGAACTTTCGTCACGCATTTTTACAGTCTGAGAAGTTACCGCTGAACTAGTCGGACTAGTCGGACTCATTTTCTGTACCAGTGGGAAATTTACAATTGATTGATCAATGAGTAGTGACTAATGCGATGTTTATCTAATACATTAGATCATTGACTATTATGCTGAGAAGTGAAAAACAGCATGAAAAGTAGATTTGGAAATTTGTGATGACCAACTCTAACCACCTAATAGTTTACTTTGATTTTAAGTAAATCTTACTTTTAAAAAAATGAAGCTCTAACCGTATTTCATTGTTTTGAGTTTATCAATATTTGGACTCAGTATTTAGACTTCTTGTCAGCTGCTTACAACTTGTATTACTTAAAATCCTCATTACAATGAGGATTTTCAATTATTTTAATGAAAGTATTCCATTGGAAGTTGTTATGATTGTCAATTAGTATAGTATAACAAGGGTGTTGTAAAAAGATTGAAAATATTACATAATTTATACATACAAAAGAACATTCTACAACATTGATATAATCATAAATGTTTTAAGTGCTGATCACACACGATTAATCAGAAAACAGAAGAAGTAAATAATGACTATCTAATCAAGTCAAGTTTAATCAGTGAAATTAATCTAAGAAGACAGTCAAAATCAAAATTCTTATGATGTCAGTTAGTGGAAAGAAAATGTTCTCTACAAAATATGATGCTTAAAACAAGTGAATAGACTGAATAATTCTGATATGTTGATGATATGTTGATTAATTTGCAATAGTTGAAATCATTTAATTCATCCATCCATCTGTCACAGCTAGCAGCTTTACAACAATGCTCACTTCAATATATAATTTTCTGTACAACGGATAACAAACAAAGCAGTTGAACATTCTAGTTTATTGAATCAGTACATGAAATGATCTTGACTTGACTTGAATTTCCATAGTGTTTTTGCTTGATCACTCATTGAAAATTGATTATCAAAACAAATCAAAATCTCAATTAAAATGAATTGATATTATATTTTGCTGAAATTTTTATTCTTCTTCCTCTTCTTCAAATTGAAAATCAAACAAACTGAGTTGAAGAATTGATAATATCTTTAGAGTTATCTGAATTTTTTTCTCAACTGCAATTATTAACAAAGTGATTATCTTTTTAGCAAAAATTATTCACACCTATTAGGAAAAACAATTTTAATTCTATAAATTTTATTTCATATTTTTCAGATGAAATTGGTTGCTTTCCTGGTTCTGATTGCCTTAAAGTTTGCGGACATCGTAGTGGTTGTTCTAATATGGCATATCCAAAACTTGTGATCGATTTAATGCCGTCTGGTATGTTCACACTTTAATATATATTTTTTGTTACATATTAAAAAGTTAATTTACAATTTCGATTTCCTTTAAATTTTATTTCTTTTATATGAAGTTTAATTTAAATGAATAATTTTGTAAAATTCCAAAGAAGATTATTCACATAGTTTCTCTTAGTTAACTCATTAGATTATGTGTGTTGAAAAATGTATGATGATTTGATGTTTTTGTTTTTTGTTGAGATTTTTTATATTAAATAGATAGATAGATAGATAGATAGATAGATATTCTATCAATAGTTGATTTATGAATAATTTAACATTTATATAGAATGATGGATGAATGAATGAGTAACTGAGTAACAACGAGTCTAGGTGTAAATAAGACTAACCAGAATTGAGTGTACACCAAAATTATCGTATAATTTTTTTATTACTACTACTACTACACTTTTCTAACATTTAAAATTTTTGAACATTCATGTAACTTTTGAATAATTATTATTTAAAAACATGAAAGAGAATTTATTCTCTTTTTGACTGGAAATCTTTGTAACATGTCAAAATATGTATTTCTGACTGTTTGATTAATGTAGATGTAAAAATGTTTTTGTTACATTTTATATACATAATATGCAATAAATTAGGCTTTCTTATTTTTTTCTTTAAAGTTACATCCGATGTATCATGCGGAATATATGTACACACAAGGTTCAAGTTAAATAAAGTGAAATAAAGTTATTAAATCATTTTTTTTCGAGAGAAAGATAATAAATATTAAGCACAAAAAAAAGATAAAGATTATAAGAAGAATTTCAAAGATCAAAAACTAAGAAAAGTTAAAAATTTCATTATGATCGAATTCAAGACATATTATTAAATATTTGTAGTCAATGTAGTATGCATCTAATTACATGGCTTAGTCACACAGTCATTGATTCCATATGCTGATATCATATTTTATTTTTGTCGTCTCCTAACTTTCTTCAAGATTATTTCTACACTAGTTAATGTCGCTTACTGAATTAAACTGTATATAGGTATACATAGTACATGTCTCAACAAATTCAGCTGGTGACAATCAGTTCGTCGTCTCTACAGAGTCCTCTGTGCCTAAACCTGATGTTATTAGTACGCTGATACCAACTTCATGCGTTCAATGGTTTCAAAGCATATTTGACCCATATACTTGTTGTCCACGAACAGTCTCTGCATTTTTAAAGCTCTGCTACATAAATGAGAAGTAGAACAGACTGAGTTACTGAGTAGTGTACTTGTCATTTAGTTGATAGACATGCATCTTACCTATGTCACAAGTGAGGCAAATTTTTAAAGGCCAGTCGAGTCTTCTGAATTTGTACCCAGCTTACATCCGGCATAAATTCTTCACGATTCATTCGACTTTCAAAATACATTAATTGGTAGACGCACTCAAATACTTCATTTTGTATCACCGGTTCAGGCGCGAATGCAAAACAGTCGCGAAGAAACATTTACACTTTGGAAGAAGAGAAACACATCTCAAGCACTGTTGTTGAATACGATCAGAAGACTCTGAATTATGTCAGATTCTTCATCAAAGAGAACTACATTGTTTGATTGATGTATCTTCTGCATGTTGGTTAGTTCTTGCTGTTTATGTCTGTTTGTATCACCTACGACACTGTTAATCTCACTCAAATTTGAGAGATCTGTAAGAATTTCCATTTCATATGGTTTAAAGATGATCGGTTATCCGTTTTTAACTCTAACCTCTAGCAATATATGTACTATCAGATAGTGTGAACTTACATATTTGCCACTAATCGAGGCTGCGTTAGAGTATTAAGAATTTGATTTATCTACATAGTCTGTATAGATAGTTGCTTTTAGAGATTGTTGAAATGGCTTTCAAACAGTTATTTCATAGGGATACAGTAAGCAGTTGAACTATTAAAAAAGATATATTCATTCTTTTTTAAACTTTATTTGGAAATCTTCAATAATATGATTCGATTATTTTACTTTCACAAGTGAATCAATCAATCGATAAGATAAGACATTGGACTAATGATAGTCCTTCTTAGTAATAATACTAATAATAATGATTATTATTATTATTATTTAATCGATCATCCTCATCATCATCAGATTTTTTTTTATTTCAATACAAATATGTCTTAGTGATGTTTAGTGTATAAATGATGATTTGAATTTTTGTTTCTCCACCCCTCCCCTTCCCTGTTCTGTTGAATTTTATTGATTTTTTTTGTATTGATTCCAGTGAAAAGATACACTAAAATAAATGTACATAAATTAGATTGAGAATGTATGTTGGAATAGTTTTCATGAAATAAAACTGATCATTTTTGATAGATTAAATGGATAATTACAATGACAATTTCGATGTATACAACAATGACAAGTCGTCTATTGGATGCCATTGCACTCATGTTTCCTTTGGACTAAAATTAACTAAAAAAAGTGAAAACACGATCGCCATTTACACTGCACCACACTGCACTTCATTGCATTGTACGTCACTTCACACATGAACAAAGCATCAACTTCATGCAAAATCACCTTTTCAATAATCATAAAATTTTACACAATATTGAATAGATTGAATAGTTGTTTTGTTGTTGATTAAATTTTTTTTAAAAAAAAAACATAATCAATGATCAAAATGAAAACGTGTAAAATGTGTAAAACAAAAAATTCTTGTTACCTCTGAGTTGAAAATTCAAGTTAACAATGAAAAAATATGAATGAAAGTTACATAAAAAAATTGTATGTTAAAAACGATTTAAATCATTGCATAATGTTAATCTGCTTTTTATGAACATAGATTAGTTGAAATTTTATTCTATATTATGAATGGATAAAAAGATGTTTAATTAGGCATTTTTCTAAAATATATCCTTTCTTTAATTATAACAAAAACACAATTATATTAAATATAGTCATCATCATCATCATCACTAGTGTATACTGTACACTATTGAATATATTTTTGTTTGTTTTTTTTTTTCAAATTAAACGAAAGAGAGAAATTAATACGTTCAGTGTTTTGTTCATTTGTAGTGAATATTTTAAGTTTTATTATTATTTTTTTTTATAACATTTTATTACAAGTGTTTTTTTTCTTTTTGAACTTTTCTGAACTGAAACATTGATGAATATTTCACTTTACACCACAATTATCATAATCATAATAATCAGGTCTCAGAGGTCTAATGTTGACTGTAATGCTTGCAGCTTTAATATCCGATCTAACTTCAGTTTTCAACTCTGCCAGTACACTATTTACAGTAGATATTTATCAGAAATGGCGAAAAAATGCTCAAAATGTTGAATTGATGATTATTGGTCGGTGAGTAATGAGCATAATAATTTTTTATTTGAAAAAAATATCTTTATGATGTAACATATTTTCTGTGAAAAATGAAATTCTCTATCATACTAGCGCTTATACAGAGTATTCAATTAGCGATATAAACTGTATCATGTGATTTCATATCTATTAGGGGCCTTCAATAACTATATGAGCTGTACTTGGTAACTTCAATCATTCCATATCGAGGTCATCCAAGAGATCAGCAAAACGGTCACTTCAATAATGAAGTTTTTATACACTGAATTGACTATGTTGATGATACTCCACTGCTACAGGAATTTTCAAACAAACCAATCATGATGTTAACGAAGTTGTCACTTATAGTCATTGAGCTGAAATTGTAGGCTGTCGAGAATTTGCTTCATTCACCTATTTGATTACTTTGATTTCGTTAGTAATCTTCATGCTCAATGAGAAGTTGATTGAAAACATTAATTCAAAACATTTCAAAATCTTGCTTATTTTCATTATTTTGAAATATTGCGTTTAGAGACAAACTTCTTCATTTCTTAAGATTATGCCAAAAAGATGTTAAACTTGGTGTTGATATACGTCTTTGAAATGAATTCGAAATCACACGGGTTTACACTGATATTACAAAATAGTGTCCGAAAGTCCTCGGTTCGGATCCTGCGAGGTGAAGGATTCGTGGATACGCACTGCTGATGAGTCCTACACCAGGACGAAACGATCGTCACGTGCTTCCAGGTTTCTAATGTTGGTCTTACAATGATTGACAGATGATTTCAATGTGCAACAAACACTAATCTCCATGACTCTTATTGGAAAAAAATATTACATATGTTCCTGTGACCTTGAAATATATAGACGGTAGGATGCTTAGTTGATATTGATCAGCTGATAAGAGGTAGGAATGTTAATATGTAGGGTTCATAGCCGAAGAATTTGAGCCTTTTTGTTGACGAAATGTAATTAGTTTAATGATAATTTCTATCAGTATAAAAAATTTGGAGAATTCGGCATTTTGAATGTGCTAGTTTTTAAGTAAAAAAGTTATTCTACATACTGAAACAGTGTGCGACGGCTTGGTTGACTAGATTTCTAGTAACCTACAAAAATCGATCTTCTTCAGTTGTCTATAGCGTGTAATTACATTTTAAAAAAATTTAATTTCATCACTTAGTAAATTAGTTACGTCTGTTAGTTATAGTCAAATTCATGTTCAAGTAGAAAATTACCAAAAAACTAATATCAAGTGCTAATCGGTTTAATTTATAGAACACTGACTTACTTGATGTAGACAAATCTAACCAGGAAATCTACACCTACTAATATGGATCAATCCAGTTGTCAAGTGACTTCATGGTTTTATGCCATCTATGAGTTTGACTGCCCCTAGCTTTCTTCAAGCCTACCCCTAAATCATACAACATTGTTCATCAAGGTAGTCAGTGATTGTATTTACGTAATACATGTCTTAACCATCGGAACTGATGAAGTTTCACTGCTTCATCAATTAATATACTATCCTTATATCAGCATTGCTTACTCAATGGTCCCAGGATATACATGCTATACTTTGAAGATACCTGCTATCGAATATCAGTAACCTACGAATACCCTCGATTCTTAGCTTTCATGTTTCACACCCGTCAAGTAGGAAAGAGCAAACTACTGAGCAGAAGACGTATCCTTTTGTTGGTAGACACATATCACGCCTAAATCATAAATGACGAACTTTGGCAAAAGCCATTCAAGACTCCTGTATCCTTGCCGAGATTTCGTCACACACCAGACAATCAGCATTTTGTCAGCATATTAACCGAATAGAACTATGTGATTGACATATTCTAAGTAAGTAAGTGAATCTCCTGATGCAAGTTCAATCTTTGAGAAGTCAGACGATAAATGTTTCGTCTCTATAAGTGTGTTAATGAGTTCAGTAGGAGTGAAGAAAGGGGACAACCCTGACGAATTAATGAATTCCGACGACCATTCATCATAGGCTCTGATTTAACCAATATTGTTGGATTAGAGGGCCTGTTTAAGGTTAATATACTATTTTGGTACTTTTTTCCAATGACATACACTGTCAGAGTAACTCACGATCAGCATAGTTAAATGTTGCCTCAAAGTAATGGAATACAACAATTGTCAGACGTCTAAATGTGTGTCTATGTTCTGGGACTTGTTGAAGTGTGAATATTTGGTCCATACATCCGTGTTCAGATGTTCATTCTGCATTATGCACACAACCGTTATGAATTCGGAAGCTTGGCTGGTTACCGAAATCACTAACTACTAAAGCCCTGAAAATCCACCAAACGGCTAAATGTGACAGTAAACTTATGTAAGAAGGTTGGGAAATCCAATCAATTTTTTAAAGTAGCTTCACGAGATTTTCTGCGTGAACATGTTCCATGAATGAAGATTTTAAGTGATAACATAGCTTTGAGTGATAACTTTTAGGCTTATTGATTATTGCAAAATCGATTGTACATCATAATGAGTATCTTCTATTGCACTGAACCTGTTTTTATCTCATGGTTTATTTAACTATTTATTTAATGTCCAATTTTTACGAATCTATTGTATTGAATAATTTATTTACTTTAAGTGCATTTATTGCTGTACTAGTTGGCGTAAGTATCACATGGGTTCCGATAATACAACAATCTCAAGGAAGTGAACTGTATATCTATATTCAAGCAATTGCTGCCTATCTAACACCTCCTATAGCATCAGTATATTTATGCGCTATATTATGGAAACGGTGTAATGAAAAGGCAAGTTACATCTATATATCTATATATATTTTATAATTTGATCATTACTGTTTCATTCGCTTAACTAATGTAGTGATATAATCAACCGAGAATATTTTGTGGGTTAATTCTTCGATAGTAAATTGTGCTAGACATATTGAGATATATTAAATCCTTTAATCTGAAGTACTGCTGAGAGATATCGCTGATAAAGAGAGTATTTAGGTGTAACAAATTCGAATATATATGATGAACATGGGTATGATCATTGTCTATCTATCTATCTATCTATCTATCTACCTATCTATCCTATTTAAATATGTTCTGTGTTGATGATAAACGTCAACAAGTACTAGAGAAGCTATTTTTTAAACCGTTTTACTGTAAAATACAAAGATTCATAAAAGCGTTTCATGGGGTTGACTGAGTTAATTTTTAGTCTTTCATAGTAGATAAATGATAACCCTCATCAGTTAAAGGAGTACTAGAACATACAGGGATTATCTCAAAACTTTCATCGAAAGACCTGCATTATGAATTAATCATTGGGATATGACTTGTCAAACTCTGACACCTAATGAGATTTGCGTCAAACTAATTGATACCAAAATCACTTCTACATATATAACATAGTGTGAAAAAAATGTAACAACGATAATGAGTTGCATATTGGCTATTTAAATTCTTCACATTTAATGCCGAAGTAGCATACTTCTTTAGTTACTTACGCATGTTACCCCCGACGAAGCATAGGCCACCGACCAGTTTTCTCCAACCTACTCTCTCCTCATCTTCCCGTTCCAGTTCTGTCCAATTTTTGTTCATTCTTCTCATGTATGTCTCCACTATTCGGCGTAATGTCTTCCTTGCTCTTCCTCTTTACTTTTCACCTTGAGAGCTCCATAAGAGGGCTTGTCTTGTGATGCGGTTGGGTGGTTTTTGTAGTGTGTGTCCTATACACTTCCACCAATTCTTCCTGATTTCCTCCTCCACTGCAATCTGGTTCGTTCTCTCCCACAGTGCGTTGTTGCTGATAGTGTCTGTCCAACGAATGCGAACTATTTTGTGAGGACAACTGTTAATAAACACTTGTATCTTCTGGATGATTGCTTCGATAGTTCTCCAAGTTTCCGATCCATACAGTAGAACTGTCTTGAAATTTGTATTGAAAATCCTGATTTTGGTTTTGGTTGAAAGTTGTTTGGAGTTCCAGATATTTTTCAATCATAGAAATGCAGCCGTTGCTTCGCCGACACGCACACTCTCTTCTGCATCGGATCCACCTTTCTCGTCGATGATGCCGTCCAGATATGTAAAGGTGCTAACGTCCTCCAAGGCATCTCCATCAAGAGTGATTTGGTTGGCGCATGTTGTGTTGTATCGCCTTTCCGTTTATGTATGTTGAGACCTGCTTCTTCTGAAGCTGCCGCTACACTGGTCCTCTTCTCTTGCGTTTGTCGTTGCGCGTGCAATGGACGAGCCATATCATCTGTGAAGTCAAGATCGTTCAGCTGCGTTCTGGCTGTCCACTGAATACCGTGTTTCCCTCCAGATGTTGACGTCTTCATAATCCAGCCGATCACCAGGAGAAAGAGACAGAATGAGAGTAAGCAACCTTGTCTGAAACTGTTCTTTACCTCGAATGAGTCTGTCAGCTGTTCTCCGTGCACGATTTCGCAGTTGAAACCATCTTAAGAATTCCGCATGATGTTGACTATCTTCTCAGGCACGCCGCAGTGTCGAAGAAGCCTCCATAGTGCTTTCGTGTCCACTCTACCGAATGCTTTCTCGTAGTCAATGAAGTGATGATGAATTCCATTCATTTAGTTGTTCCACAATGATCGGTAATGTTACAATTTGGTGGGTACACGATCGATCCTTCCGAAATCCAGCCTGTTGATTTCGAAGTACCGAAGTAGCATGATAATGATGAACTGAAACTAATGAACTTGGAGTATTTGAGTTGAATCATTTGTGATTAATATTCATAATTTTAATTAATTATCAACTATATACTAACAAAAATTTGAAGAATAATCTCCTCAATATTTTATCACATTTCTATTCCAGCGGTACTGACTAGTTTCTAGTTGGTTGACTTAATCACTTTATTTTTTAAAATACGGTTTGATCTGACTAATAGTGATTTGTAAAAATTTCTGACGCCAATTAGTGAACATGATTGGAAATCAAGAAGCAATAAAATAATTTTTGCAAGTCTTTAATTATGGTAGAGAAGACTTATCAATCAAGTTGTCAGGTGGTTAGAAGCAAATTGTCAAATGTATTTAGTTCAATATATATATATATATATATATATATATATATATATATATATATAACACAACTTCCATCTCATATATCATTGAAAAAGTCTTCTATTCTAGCTGATAGAGGAAGATGAATATCTTGTTGAATGTTATTTTATTTAACTAAGATTTTCATTTTCAAGGCTTATCCATTTCATGTGACCGATTATTATTATTATTATTATAAATTTGTTATTTATTTGTTGTTTTGTGTTTCATAATAAATGTTAAAAAAAAAGAAAAAAACCTTTCTTATCTATCACATATTTACTCTTTTTCTTTTCTTTAAAGGGAGCGTTTTTCGGTTTAATTTATGGCTTAATGATTGGTTTCATTCGAATGATTTTGACATTTGTTTACACTGATCCAATATGTGGTGAAGTGGATACACGACCATGGATTATAACAAAAATTCATTATATGTATTTTGCTGTATTCTCATTTACAACTACAATGATTTTAGTTGTGATCATTTCATTGTGTTGTGGTGCATTACCAACTCCGGATCAATTGTATCGATTAACCTATTGGACTGCATGGGATTCAAATGAAGAAAATTGTAATAATCAAATGCGCGATTTATCCATTTCGTCTAATTCTCAATTACAAATGAATAAGAAAATCTCACCTATTCCAGATTCTGAGTTGAAATCGGTTCATTTATCAGAATTAGGTGAGTTTAATGGTTGGTTGTATGTGTTTCACTACTTGATTTATCTAGAGTGCTATCGTGTTCTCGATGATGAAGTGTTTCAATTGAATGTTGATCTATTATTATACCATACGCAATTCACTAGTTTTTGTCAATTACAATCATATAAAAATGTTTTTATTTTTTTTTTTTGGTTCCTAATGAATAATTGTTCAGTGTAAGTATAAAATTGGGGCATTACAAATTCATTAAAAATAACTAATGAAAATAATATTTAAATGAATAAGAAATAAAAAGAAAAAGATTAATTGATTGTAAATAGAACATTGATTATTGACAAGTGAATTAAAATGTCATGATCAAATGATAGACAGATATTATACTAATTATTTAATAATGAGAATAGCGATCATTTTTGAAATCTCAAGTGAACTAAATGACACAGAGTAGAAGGAAATAATTATTGGTCAAGTTATAAAACACAGAGAGTAAGAGATTTAGAAAGAATTAAAACTACAAATGATATTCCAACCGATTGTGATATACACCGATCATATCGATTCTTCTGAATTTGTACCCAGCTTACATCCGGCATAAATTCTTCACGATTCATTCGACTTTCAAAATACATTAATTGGTAGACGCACTCAAATACTTCATTTTGTATCACCGGTTCAGGCGCGAATGCAAAACAGTCGCGAAGAAACATTTACACTTTGGAAGAAGAGAAACACATCTCAAGCACTGTTGTTGAATACGATCAGAAGACTCTGAATTATGTCAGATTCTTCATCAAAGAGAACTACATTGTTTGATTGATCTATTTTCTGCATGTCGGTTAGTTCCTGAAAGATTATGCAATCAGTGAGTTATTCTGAAACAATGTCTATGATTAAGTTAAATAAAAACCAAGAAAGGAGACTACCCTGTGAACACTATTTGAAGTTTATGATTGCAGTGATGGTTCGTCAAAAACTGGTTTTCGATTTGTAGTGTTCAACTAGAGAGTCTATACGAGATGGGACTTTCAGTAACAACAGTTAGTGCCTTAAACATGCAACACTCGACAGGGCTGAATACTATCGTGAAGCTAAGAAATACGGTTATAGTTGGGCTTCAGTATAACCTGAAGAACGGTAAGTATTTAGTCCGTACATACATCTTAAGGTCTAAAATAATTCTGTTTTTCTTGGTTTATTGTTCACACGCACTATTCAAGTGTTAGATGACTGTGGGAGCTAATATTTTGGCCACTATATTAATCGAACTGATTCCTTTGTCGTTGTGACAGGAGGACGATCAGACATCTAGAGACAAGTTGCATGTGATTAAGTTTAACCTCCAAACTCTAGTTAAATTCTTACATGATCTAACTGTTAAAACTGCACGGCTATGCTTAAATATCTTTTTTGGTTAATCCATCAGAGACCGCTGATTCTCGTCAATTTGAATTAATTATAACTTATAGAACTTGCTTAGAAATCAAAGGAAGAAGTGATTTGCATAATTCATTCCGGTTATTTCAGACTAGTTGATTGATTAGATAGATAGTCTGAAAATTCAATTCATGATTCTTAGTTAATATATTAACAGCAATATGAATGTGAGTATATCAAAAAAAAACAAATCTCATCATTATGTGCTCATCTTCAGTAAATTATAACATTCCTAAGCTTATTAATTTTTATCCACTCTATATCTACAATAAAAAGTTTTAAAATTTGTTTATGAATATATTTAACTTTGACTAAAATATTTACTTCAGTCGGTTCGTGTGTGCCAACCAGAAATGACCTTGCAATTATTATTAGTCTATTTTCTTTTTACACTGTTTTATGATGGTGTTTATAATATTTTTTTTATTTTAATGTTTGGTACGTAGAATACCTGAATCTATAAGAAGATATTTGGTAACAATGACCTTCTAAGTATTATATATATATATATATACATATATATATACATATTCATGAAATTGTGAATAAACAAAAAGCCAATATTCGAGACTCAAGAGTAAACTGATTTTTTAATTGTAACTATTTCATTATGGTCTTTTAGTTAGTCTGTATATATGTATAAATGATGATATGAGGCGTAGATGGCATGATACTACTACTTCTGTGTAACTAATCTCTCTATAACTAGAGAAACGTCTGTCGTTTATAACATCTACATAAATAGATAGTTAAAGTGTGAAGAACAATTCCAATTTTCTAACTGAAAAGTTTTCAACTATAGTCACTATTGTGTTCTGCGTTAATAATTAAAACAAAAACGAAGCTTAAATTTTGTAGGATTGTAATTTTATCATGAAGTTTTCAAATTCTATTTTATAAATAATATAGCCAACAGGTATTGTTTGTTAAGAAGTTAAGTAAAATTTTCACCTTTTGAAATTCATTGCAAGAATCCAAAATAAAATAGGAAACAGAAAATCAATCAGTAAAAATCTAGTTTTACTATAATAGTTGTATTACTTAGAATAGATGAACTCCGCCCGGAGCCCCTCTTGGTCTAACGCCGGTCCCAAGCCTGGATAAAGGAAGAGGGTTTGGCATGGGGTTATTGACCCCATCCCGTAGAAAATTAACTCGTTAGAAAATGTTAGCTAGAAAAAATCATTCGGGCCATTTAAACTCTACCCTGAGAGTTAGAATGTCTTCATTTTGGAGAGTTAAAACATCTTATGATAAAAGCTGAGTTTCTTCGGACGTCATGCTGCTCTGCCCCTTCTCACAACCAAGGCAACCGTTAATTTAGGTACATAGAATGTTCGCACATTGTGGGAGACCAGGAGAACCATTCAAGTCGCTGCGGAAATGAAAGAACCACCTGCAGGTACTAGGAATCAGTGAAAGGGATCAGACGCAGGTTGCACAACGAGGACTAACTTCAGGAGAGCTGTCGTTACACTATGGCCTTTCTCTTGGGTATTGACAAACTCGACGAATTCAAGATAAACCTCAACTATAGGTTCTATGCTTTTCACGATCTACTCAATGGAGAACACTTTGGAAGGGGTCATGGAGGCAATCACTTCAACATATCAGAAGGTTGTAGGTCATAAGAAGTAGAATCACAGTGAATGGATCTCTCTTGGTACTTTGGATAAGATTCAAGAAAAGAGGAACAAGAACGGAGAAAGCCGAGGCAGAAGTTGGAAACACAGAAGCGAACAAGCAACTGAAGAGGAACATTAGAGCTGACAAACGTAAATATGTGAAATGACGGTGGAAAAGGCTGCAAGATGAGCAAACCTAAGACACTTGTAAGATGCGAAAAAAAAGCTCGCAGGAAACTATCATTAACTAGAACGACCAGTGAAAAGCAAGGATAGCAAAGTAGTCAGCAACATTCAAGAAGGGAGAAGCAGGTGCATAGAGCACTTCAAAGAACTTTTGAATCGACTGGCTCCACTGAACCCACCCAACATCGAGACACCATACACGAAAGAAATAAGCGAGATCCTCCGATATAACACAACATGCACCTAAAAAATCACGTCTGATGGAGATTCCTTGGAGGATGTAAAAACCCGTACAGTCTTGGGCAGCATCATCATGAAGACGTCAACATCTGGAGGGAAACACGGTATTCAGTGGACAGCCAGAACGCAGCTGAACGATCTTGACTTCACAGATGATATGGCTCGTCCATTGCACGCGCAACGACAAACGCAAGAGAAGAGGACCAGTGTAGCGGCAGCTTCAGAAGAAGCAGGTCTCAACATACATAAACGGAAAGGCGATACAACACAACATGCGCCAACCAAATCACTCTTGATGGAGATGCCTTGGAGGACGTTAGCACCTTTACATATCTGGACGGCATCATCGACGAGAAAGGTGGATCCGATGCAGAAGAGAGTGTGCGTGTCGGCGAAGCAACGGCTGCATTTCTATGATTGAAAAATATCTGGAACTCCAAACAACTTTCAACCAAAACCAAAATCAGCATTTTCAATACAAATTTCAAGACAGTTCTACTGTATGGATCGGAAACTTGGAGAACTATCGAAGCAATCATCCAGAAGATACAAGTGTTTATTAACAGTTGTCCTCACAAAATAGTTCGCATTCGTTGGACAGACACTATCAGCAACAACGCACTGTGGGAGAGAACGAACCAGATTGCAGTGGAGGAGGAAATCAGGAAGAATTGGTGGAAGTGTATAGGACACACACTACGAAAACCACCCAACCGCATCACAAGACAAGCCCTCTTATGGAGCTCTCAAGGTGAAAAGTAAAGAGGAAGGCCAAGGAAGACATTACGCCGAATAGTGGAGACATACATGAGAAGAATGAACAAAAATTGGACAGAACTGGAAAGGGAAGATGAGGAGAGAGTAGGTTGGAGAAAACTGGTCGGTGGCCTATGGTTCAATAGGGGAAATAGGCATAAGTAAGTTAGTTAGTTAATTCAGATCTCAATAGGATTTTTGACAAAAATAATATTTATGTAAATAAATTTATAGGGGATGTTGGTTTGCAGGGGCAGCAAAATTCAGAAGAGTAATGAAGTTATTACTGGTTACTCAGTTTTTTAGGTGTGATAAATTGTTTAATTAAACGAACTGTGATCATATTTCATCATTTTCCTATAATATTTTACTACTTTGTGTTGTTCCTATCGTTTGTTTATACCTCTATAGATAAAGTTAGTTGTTTATTGATTTGGCGAACACAAGTTAATATTGATTTGTTGATTGTGACTTTAATTTCTACGTACTTAGTTAGTTCAAACAATCCTATTTCGCCTTGAATAATTTTATAAAACTAGCACTATAGGAAAGATTTAATTTTCATAGTCAATTTATACGAGAAATTATTCCAGCATATTCAATTAAATGAATAATAATATCAACCTTCAACAAGAGCATTTTTTTTTTATATTTAGCTAATATCAACAGGGTATATAAGTCGGTAATTATTGATGACCTCATATTCTACTAAATGTGATTAATTAGTTTAGAAAAAGATATTTTCATAGTAGTTTTTTTTTCTATAGAAATTATTTTTCATTAATTTTTATGATACAATAAGTTTAAAAGATAATTCATTAATACTACAATTTATAGTGAACATTTTGGTTGATTATTTGGTTTGCTGATGATTATATGACATCAAAAACACCTTTTGATTGATTACTGTAAAATGCTTAATTAGTGTGTAACTATTATTCTTAGGCAAAAAGATTTCACTATCAAATTAAACATCATTATTTTCAATGTACTTAAAGAATAGTAGTAGTAATGTGGGTCGGTATGTAGGTTGGATAATATCATCAAAATTATGTTATTATCTCATTGGTAATTTGATTAATTATTCTTCAGCTGTTCATTTCTATCTGCATCAATTGATTTTGAATGGATGTTCAGTGTCTCTACACTGGCCTGTTCACAAAACAACTGAACGAGTATTATATATTTGATTGATTAAGTAAATGCATTTGTGAATTGTGATCTGTGTGATTCCAACTATGCGAATCCATTAAATTTACTTTGATATTATTCAGTGTTTTTTTTGTGTTTTCTTTTAGTTTTCTATGATCTAATTAAACAATTCAACGCTAATATGTTTTCTGATGAAAATCATGGAAATTAATTTTTTGTTAATTTAGTCAACTATAATTGAATATACACACTGCTCCATATTACGAATAATAATAATAATCATAATAATGTATATTAATCTTTAAAATGCATTTACTTTGAATCATATGAATGATAAGATTTTGTAATAAGATGTAAATAAAAACAATACATGCAACATGGCAGAAAATTATTATCGATTTATTTACTATTCACAACAGCAATCTACTACATTTTATAATTGAATAAAATTAGCATATATTATTTATTTATTTGTTTAATTTCTTGAATATACATCTTTCATAATTGATAAAATAACTGCACAAAATTTGCATCTAATTGACATGTTTTGTAATTACTATCTCTATTCTAGAGGCCAATGTCAATGAACCGAATTCAAGAAATCTATTCAAATCTATTTGTTTATGGTTATGTGGTGTTGGAAATTCACCTTGTCAAAAGTCTTCTGAAGTGACTGACAAAGTTGTCTTACGTGAACAACAAGAAATCACTCAGTCTAGACTAAGAAAAATAGCCAGTCTTCGTCAAAATCCTCTAGCGAAATTAGGATTACGAATCGGACTAGTTGCTATTATATGCTTGACTATTTTTGCTTACATATTTTACTCTTTATATTTCGATGAACTAACCATCGGTCCATTACCAATTCGAGGCAACTTGTCTTCTTTCAATGAGCACATGAAGTTTATTAATTATTTGCAAAAACATAACATGATAATATTTCGGTAAAAAAAAACAAACAAAAACAAAATAACTTTTAATTCATCATGATTTTTTTTCATAGCCATATTTTTTAGTCTATTTCATTTGTATTTATTTTTTTATTAAAAAAAAACAAAAACAAACTTATTTTTAAGAAAATTGTTGATCAATAATCTGAAATGAAAACCTTTCATCAGCAATATAACTTTATATTTTCTAATATATTTTCACACTACTAAATTCAATAGAGTAGTTCATGTGTGAACTAATTAGATTATGCACAATCTACGATAGTTCATGATTAATGGTAATTCCAACATACAAATAAATTGTTTACACTAAAGTGAATGAATTTCTTTCTCTCCAATAAAATTCATAAATTATTATAATTTTTTGTAAACCGATTGTTCCGAAAATATTCATGTAGTTGTCAATTACTTGACTAATTTTACATATAAAAAAAGGGAATTCATATCTGATGATTATGATCAGATTAAGTATGAATAAAAAGAGATTTATTAAAATTAATTAGTAATCAAAAATGGTGTACAGTGCTGAAAAATCACTGTGATAAATGATTGTGTATAATGATGAGAACGGTTCTGATGAATATTTATGCCTTGAGAATCAGATTTGTAATCTGATATTTTAAAGTCTACTATTATCTCGATCTATCCAAAATATGACAGTTTCCAAAGAGTTTAACCAGATAAATTTGGAAATAAATAGTAGTTTACAAAATAAGTTCACTGTCCAGTCTGTTAGACTTACATTTAAAATAAATTACAGAATGGTATATTTGGATGTTCGAGTAAGCAAGATCGATTTACTAGTTTATAATGCACAACCAATTATAGTAAAATTTATATCGTTTTCTAAATATATTTCTATTCATTGCAACAGAAACTGAAGCAATCTCATTGCCTGGTTTTAATATTAAGGATTAGCTCATTTAATAAAAGATAACTTGATCGAATTTGAAGTCATAACAGTCATGTCTGAAACAAAAGCGTACAAAAATGAATCGCAACTATTGAGAAAAGTGTCTTTAATTTTATTGAGATTAAATGCCATTTCTAATTGAATGATAAACAGTGATTTGTTTATGCCCGTACTCATCAGTAGCTTTTGATAAATGCTAGATTAGTTCTTAGAATAATATGTCTTCGATACGATTTAATGTTTTGTTGTATTAAACATGAAAGGTGTAAATATATACTAAATTCATGCAACATAAGATTTTCTCATCACTCCATTTTATCGATTTTTAGGAAAATTCAGTGCAAACGATTTTGGAGACAATGTAGAGTCAACTTTACGACTTTTTAAAAGATTTAGAAAGATGGTAATTAACACCTACATAATAAATGAAATTAATTGAATAGTCTGATTCTTAACTGTGAAATCCATAAACTTAGTTAGACCATTAAGTTCTTAGCAGAATATTATCGATTCATAAAAACAGTTTATACGTCAACTTAAAATGGCAAACTATCTAAAGGTGAGATGTAGTCCATTTAGTTATCACGTTATTGCTTCATCGTATAGACATCCCATGGTGACAGTTACTCAAAGTAGGTTGATTTTAGTCCAAGCGAAATCAGTTGTGTCTGTTATACGTCCAAGACATCTTTGTAGACCTTCTCAGAATACTTTCATTCTCTCTTGAAGGATTGATTATGATTTCAAATTTCTACCTATACATAGTGTTTATGCTTTTAATTTCAGCAGTTATTACGTCTATGAAGTTTACAAAGCATAGATTCGAGTCAATAGATATTCGATTCAATCTAGGGACCATCGTATTGTACTGTTCAGCATCTTCATACTTATTTTGTTCTACTGGATAAATTCTAGTTTAATGAATCTAGTCTAATGAATCTTAAGGTTGAGAACCTGTGATCAATTGCTACTGAACACCTTGAGAACAGATTCCTTCTTGAAGACCTGGGGTTTTTGGATTATGCTCAATAAAACTAGTGGAAACTTGATTTCGTTCTTCTGATGTATAGGCTTTTGAATTTACATGTAAATTGATTCATGCAGTTAGAGTTAGAAAAACGATGAAAATTTATCTACTTTTGCGTTATTTAGTATAAAATGTTGAATTTGGGGAAATCAACAATCTAAATAGTGAAATTTATTTTTCAAAAATATCTTTAGACTTTGATTAACTTTATCCGTTATCTGATCAGTTTCTGAATGGTGGATGAACAAACAATCTTATTCATAGGTTCATATTCTTCAAACTTACTTCTCCATTCTGTACTATAAATTCCATAATTGATTGATGGTATCAATTTCCTCGAATACAACTATTTACTAATATTATACTTCTGATTGAGCATAATCTTCTGGCGCTGTTGTTAAGTATTTCCACTAATCCATAATTTTCCACTCCAGACTATTTTTCGATATACATATCCGTTGATAAGCTCTATAGTTTTCATTTTTCTGAAAATATCTAAATTCAAAACGTAGACAGCGCCTTTTCCTTCATGTTTTATAGTAACTTTAATATTGGAATGGATTTCAAATGATTTACGTCGTTTCACAAAACAAAAGTATGATCTATGTACCTTATTTAAAGCTTACTAACATGAATGAAATTCGGTTTATTGTATTGTTGCTGAATCGCCAACAATAATACAGTTCTTAAAGGATTGCCCACCGCCAAACCATCTGTTTAACAGTATATTATGTAATGTTAAATCAGACGGAATTGCATATTTTCAATGCATTAGTTTCACTCAGTGTTTAAATAAATTTAGAATAAATTAAAAATCAAATACTTTTACGAATATGACAAAGTAAAATTATTTTATACTCATTTATATTGTAAATTAATCGTATATATTTATTGGCAATCATATTGAATTCATTTCGAAATTGATTGCTATAAAGAGGCATAATAAAGTTATTAAGAAAACTGCATCTCACTATTTTTATTCTATTCAATTTGTGTTTTTGTGTTCACAGCGCTTGTTGTAGAATTATGATAATGATAATAATGATGATGATGATTTCTATGGACATTCCACTTAATTTTAATATTTTCAATGTTGAACTATTGAAAAAAAAACCTTTGATTACTAACATGACTACGACTACTACTACTACTACTACACACTGTTCAATAATTCAGGTGTGTGGTTGTTGTGTTCTAACATTATTGTCGAATTAGCTACCAGAAAAAAAAAACCAAAAAACAAATGAACAATAATAATAATAATATTTTAGGGAAAATGTAAATTCTATTCTGACAACGATATGTTGACAGTTTGAGTTACATTTAGGCGAAATCAATTCATGCAATGAATACATTCTACATGCGCTTTATACCCTCAAAAAAAATGACAAACAAGAAATAACCATTCATATCATTGGACATTGAAAAATGTTTTTCAAAAAACCAAAACAAAACAAACAAAGTTCTAATTCTACTGATTGTTAATCGATAAAATGATACTCGATCATGTAAACGTGTCAATGTATGATTTTAATCGATCAATCAATCAATCATGGGAAATCAATAATTCACACACCGTCTAGCTAATTCATAACCATTGTTTGCAAGTTGTAAGTAAAATGCCAAATTTTTATTAAACATCAAAAAAGACGGTACAATGTCACGTGTAGCCAAAATATTTCTAATATCATTGAGAATAAAATATACTTTAGATTAGTTTAAATGTTGTAGAGAAGTTTGTCTCATACAATGAAAATTAATTTACTCGTATCATTGTGATCAATTGTAATCAAAATTACTAGTAGTATTAGTATTAGTAGTAGTAGTAGTAGTAGTAGTAGTAGTAGTAGTCGAAGTCTCTTCATTAAATTGTCTGATTGATTGAATTTATTGGAATTTTATTGTAATATGAATAAAGAAGAGATTTTAAGGTTTGTGAACTGAATGAAATCATCTAGAAAAACTGGTAGATTTAAATGTAATTGTGTTAGAAAGGAAAATGAAAATCATGTAAACATTGTCTATATCAAATATAACAGAATGAATGCCTTTTTTTTCATCAGTCAAAATGTTTTTAACAGATAGATGATATTTTGATTGAATAAAATGTATCAATAAATGAATAAATTTAAAAAAAAAACAAAAACAAAAAAACAAAACATAAACAAAACAAAGCAAAACAAACACACACACACACACCTGGTGGTTTAACATTAAAACAAATAGAATTTATTTATTTATTGTGGTGTTGTATTGTGATGATTCCATATTTCTGTAATAAATTGATTGCATCATTGAATGTTTCATTGAAATTTCTCTGATCATCAACAAAAACCGGTAATGGACCAACATTAATGGTACCGAAATAAACAGAGAAAAATATAAAACCAAAAATTGATAAAATTATAGTCAAAATTAAACCAATGTATAAGCCTAACTTGACAGCTGGATCTTGTTTTAATGAAGTAATTTTAGCAAAATGTTTATCCGAATCCAAATTCATATCTTTTAACATGGATTTCTTGAGCTTGTCATCTTCAACCATACTTAAATCATCGCTTCCAGTGATAATATAAATTTTCTTATCATTTGAATGTAGATTAGTTGATAAATTTTCACAGAAACCAACACAACAACAATAACATTTACATTTATTTTTTAATTGAACATTAGAACATGGATGATCAGCACAACCACAGAACCAAAGACAAATATTTTTCATAATTCCATAGTATAATGAAGATTGCGATTTGTTTTCACAAGCTAAATTGTAATTTTAAAATAAATAAATTGTTTATAAAAACTAAAAACAATTACTTAAATAAACTTTACTTATGACATTCAACGAAATAAAAATATGCCAATGTCAGAAATATGATCAATCAAAGTTATACAGAAGTCATCGTTTAATAATCACTAGTTAAATATATACATTACCTGTTGAAAATTGAACATTGAACATTCAATTTATCGATAGTTAACTATATCCGATTAATTTGCTGGTATACAAAGATATCAGTCAAAATCAGTCAGCAACAACCTAGAACTCCATACGTACATACATCACTTCCAGTTGCCATACCACAAATGAAATCTCATATTGGTAAATGTGGTAGAAATATAAGCTGTAAAGGAGAAGATTAGGGTTCGAAGACATCATTCAACAAGCATAATCAACCAAGTAATCTACGCCTAATTACATTACTCAGTCCACTTGGTAGTGTTTTTTAGGATTTGTGCCATCTTTTGGTCTGGCTGCTGCTAGCTTTCTTCTTGCCTACTCCTACACCACAAAACATAGCTCTTCGAGGTAGTCATCTGGTAAGGCATTCATAATGCCCGTTTTCGAAAACCTGAATAGCTTATTCAATGGTCGCAAGGTAAAACGAGCAATACTTATGATCGAATACTAGTGACCTGAGAATATTCTCTACTCTTACTGGCTATGTTTCGCAAAGATAAGTTTATTTATTTATATTATGAAGAGACTGAAAAGTAGCATTCAGGGCTATCAAGAACACTGATGAAATTATTTAATTCGTAGATCAGACGAACACTTGACAAATTCAAGATATTTATTTGAATTGAAATCAGACGAAGAATAGTCATTAATCTAGAAATGTTCTATGGTTATTAAATTCTGCTTTAAAGTTATTATTAATAAACACTTTCAGTTTAATTCCAGGGTGAATTAAACAATTAAACGATGAACTAGATATTTGACCCATTTTATTTGTTTCCTATTTTGAAATGTTTTCTTCCTACTTGAATTTTAATCATTTGTTAGTATGCTAGATTTATCATATTAAGGAAAATCGGATAGTCGATGCGTATTAATAATAATGTGTAGATAAAAGTTACAATTGATCACTAACAAAAATTGATTTATAATACACTCAATTCAATGGCAACAATAAGGTTTTGTATCAATGAAACAATCTATAAATTTCATGATACATCGACAATTAACAATTCCACATAGAAGCGTCTTGATTGTTTAAGCGAACAAAGTTCAAAGTTCAATTCAACTGGTTAACTGTCAAAAGTATTATTTCAAATGTTACATCGTTAAAAAGTTCAACAATGAATACTTGAATAATAAAGTAACTAGTAGTAATAATCTTTTTTTTTTTTCATAGAATAAACTTATAGTCAATCCATGTAAATTGTCAACGCATTAAATACAAACCTTCAGTATTTTTATTAGTTATAGATTCTTTTTGTTGTGATTGTTGTTGTAATTTTATAATTTTGTTCTCATTCAAATCCATTGAAGAATTATTAACATCATTATCATTTATTATTTGATTTAAAATATTCGAAGATATTTTCACATTGTGCATTGTTTCATTAGGCTGAGATTGATGATGATGATGATGATGATAGTTCATAGTGTGAGTGTTAGTTAAGTTGACATTTTTCTTTTCATTGTCAATTATATGATAACTATTATTATTATTATTATTATTATTATTATTATTATGCTGAATAATCATTTCATTAGAGAGAATATCATTTTGTGAATCAATTGGATAAAATGCATTAGTATTTGTCGGTTTATCCCATGCAGTCCAATAAGTTAAACGACATAATTGTTCATTGGTTGGTCGATTCTCCGTTAATGACAATAAACATACCAATAAACCACATGTTATAAATGAGAATACAGCAAAATACATATAATGAATATTTTTAATAAACCATGGTCTGGTATCTTGTTCACCGCATACTGGTTCATGAAATATAATTGTAAGAATTAATCGAATTAAACCAATCACTAATCCATACATTAAGCCATAAAATGCTCCCTTTCAATTGTTTCCCGCCCCCCAACCGCGACATCCAATAGTATAAGCAAGAAAGAGAAAGAGAGAGAGAGAATAATTGAAACAGGCAGTAGTACACTTACCTACGGATAAAAAGGTGGAGTGAGGGGTGGGGAGGGTGGAAAAAACATTTTCTGTAAACTTAATTACACTATATATATATATATATATATATATATATATATTAAAATTACAATTAGTTTTTTTGTCACAAATAGGTAAAAACAAACAAACAAACAAGTCACACATTTCGGTCAATCTTATCAACAAGTCATCATCATGTTGACATGTTTTGATACTTGTAATTTTTTTTCTTTTGTTAGTGTAAAAAAAACTATAGAGAAATGGTAAGAGTAGGGATTATTGTGTAGAAATACTTTTATTATTTTTTTTTTAAATAATATTTTATGATTATTAATCATCTCATGCGCAGTGGTGAATAGATGAGATGAGATGATGTTTAGAGAAGATGAGGAAGAAGAAGAAGAAGACCAACAACAAACTTTGCATAATTAAGTAAAGAAATAACTAAACAGTAGTAGTTAGTAGCAGTTGTTTATATTCAGTGATGATGATGATGCGACAATCAAAAGGCATCATTTCTGGGATCAAAATGAACAAGCATTTTAAACTATTGCTATAAGACAAGAATTCTGGTCTTAAACACAAATGAGAACCAGTAATATGACAATCAATGTCTTACAACATGATGTGTAAGGTAATTCGTAGACTAGATTATATGGTGTTTCTATTCTACTTTTATTTTTTTTTTTGGTCATTTTATTCAGTAATATGAGACATTGTTAGTCATGTATGATTAATGCAGTAAGCAATCATTCATTAAGAAATGTGAAACTGTTCTCATTTCTCAAGCGATAAAGTTTAACTATCACATTAATTGTGATTGGATCAAGAGTTTATCTGAATTTGAAATGAATAACTATCAAAAAATAAAAAATCCGATTACCCATTCAAACTAGTTATCAAGTAGGTGATACAATCGAAATGAGGTTATTTTTTTGTTTTGTTTTGGGATCACTAACTGACCTAAGTTAGACAACCAATGAAAATCAAGAAAGATTGCACAGTTGTTTCATTCAACAGAGTTCCGATGTAGATAATTCAAGTTTAAAGCTGACAGATTAACCTTTAGACCATCGAGTTGGCACTACTTCCATCTGATACAATTGAACTCTTCTGGTCATTGCATTTCACTAGTACTATGGAAATTACCTCATCAAGCTATCCACTACTGAACAAGAGTAATTATCAGCATTGCGGTTTACCAACATTGTTCAATGTGATTATCGATCACGAACCAACCATCAAAAATCAAATAGCAGAGAACATCTTGTTCTGCTCACTATTCACTAGCTTGAATGAGATCAACAGCAGGATCCATCGAATCCAGTATGCAATTATTCTATTCATTTAATATTTGAATTTCAGACAGTTGAAAAGATAGCTAAGAATGAATTTCAAATGTTATTTTCACCCAATTTAATCATCTTAAACACTAATCAAATCAATGAGTTATCTAACCTTATTCGATAATGATAACATGTTCACTTTGAATGGTCATAGTATTATTTCAATTGGCCGTTGTTGTAAGTGGGAAAAAATGATATAATTGAATAATGATAATCTCACAATTGGATGAGATTTACAATTTCATTGTTTTTAGAATTGTTTTATAGATCTGTGGATATATTGGGAAGGCTGTTATTGACTGAATATCATATTCAGTTTATTTTATGCTTTAGATTATTTGTTTATTATTATTATTACTACTATCATTATTTTGGAATCAAACGAATAATCATAGTCATAATCATAATAACTCAATCATTGCTTACCTTTTCTGTAGTTCGTTTAATTAGAATAGCGCATAAATAGACTGAAGCCACAGGTGGAGCAAGATAAGCGGATACAGCTTGAATATAAATAAACAATTGACTACCTTGTAATTCTTGAATGACCGGAATCCATGCAATACTCAACAAGATTAATACAATGACAAATATTCTAGAAATATTTAAAAATACATATATATATATATATATATATATATATATATATATATATATATTGAAAGAGCAAAAAATAAACGTGTTCAACACAAAATTATCAAATAAAAACAAACTGGATATGAGACAGAGAGAGAGAGAGAGATAAAAGATAAAGTTAGTGTGAATGTAAAACCATTTCACTTATTTGCAACAACAATGAAAATCACAATAACGTCGTCAATGGAAAAAACAAAGAAGTTGAATCAGTGTTTCTACAAAATCTTGAGGCAGTCGAATGAGAGTCATCCAAACAACACTTTCTCTATGCATGAATCATTGTAAATGTGTAACAGTTATCATTTGAAATTGTCAATCAAACACTATACATGAATGCATTGATGAATAAACTAGCTGATAATTAATTAGGGAACTTACCGACTAACAAACATTAATTCCATATTTTTGGCTTTTTTTCTAATTTTTTGATAAACATCCACTGTGAACAATGTACTAGCTGAATTGAAAATGGAAGTTAAATCAGATATTAACGCAGCTAACATAACAGCCAACATTAAACCTCGAAGACCTGAGAAATGATAATAGAAAAAACAACAACAACATCATCTGATTAAGATGAAATAAAAATTGACAAACTAATAAATTTTTTTTTAAACAAATATATATGTGTATATATATATATATATATATTTATTGATGATTGGTTCTCGTCTTTTTGTTTTTCTCTACAAACAATAATTAAAAACACTGAAGAAACAACAACCACACAACAAGATAATGAATAAACGTTGTAATGTTTATGATAAAACAAAAAACAAAAACATTTCACTATTCTATTTCACAAGTTTTCTATTGGTCAATTGAACATGGTTTGATGTGCTCTGTGATGATGATGATGATGATGATGAGCTTATAATTTTCTCTTTGTCAATTTTGCATATAAGCAATAGAGATGATCGATGAGGAAATTTACATACTAACAAAATAATGCATAACGTTTGTATTGTTTTGTTTTGTTTTTAATTTTTCTTTGTGAATTACAACTTTGCAAAAAAGATTAAAAAAAAAACAAAACATTTTTTTATAAATTAGTAATAACACTGTAATAGAACACAGATGCATTGGTTACATATGAATTCAATAATTAGGCTAGATACCTGATCATGTGGTGGATACTGATTGTTTTTGTTTTCTGTATAACGTCATTGTTGAATGAATGTTTTATATATTATTTATATGGTCACTGGAATTTCTCACTTTCATCATAAATAAATATAAATGTAGTATTAAATGCAAAATGATGCAAATTGACAAAAACCAATTTCATATTGATAAACTTTTACACAATCCTAGTTTAATCTATTAAACACTCTTTTTTTTTTGCATAAAATGATTTTATGGTTTGTTTGTTAACATTCTGTTATTCACAAACCATTCTATCCAGTGTATTAAGAGTATAACAATTTTTCAACTTGATTCAATCATAATTCTATGTGAATTATTAGTAATCTCTAAATGGTCTGGTTACATTTGAAACATTGATATTTCAATTATACATTAAATAATTAAGTAAGAATATTATTAATTGTGCAGTAATCTATACGACTGTAACAATGAAAACATTTTCAAAATTATTATATGCTATGCTAACGATATATATATATATATATACATAAATGAATAGACAGAATGAAACAAGTTGTATCGAATGAATGTTGAAAAACAAAAAAAGAAACAACTTAACTTTTCCTATCCAACTTTGAATAAACAAATTGTTGACAGTGATTAAGAAATCAAACAATCTCAATGTATCATATATATATAATAAAACAGAATATTCTTTCAATACTTATTGCATTAATGAGGAACGAATGTTGACAATGCCTAACTCTAATCTCAAAACCGATAATTGTATTAATTAAAAACCAATAAGGTTATACAATTTATGAATGAACTAATTGAAATTACAGCTAGTTGTAAGTATTAGAGTTTGGTGGACGGAAATTATTCATCCACTCTGATATGATTATCACTGAATGTCGGTTGATCACAAAAATCCTTATTCTAATTTATGACTTTGTGTTTCGACCGTGATAAGTTGGGATCATTTTTTTGTCAGATGTTATCCATGTATCACAAATAAGCCTAATATCTATGATCTCAGGGTACTACTACAAAAAAAAGCTCAGAATGATATGTATGATTAATAGATAATTGAATCATTTGAATTTTGTTTGAGGTATTATTCCTTTTGCCACTCTATTAAATAACATTCATAGGATATGTGATTCTAGGTTGACATTGAAATTGTTTCTTGGTGAAAAACTACTATATATAGATGAGATTGAACATGATCTGGACTACTTTCTGGCTGTCAAATATTTAACTGAAGAAATGCTGATCACCAGATTGTTTGATATACATATTCCTCAATTCAGAAATCTATTCAGCTCAAAGCATTTGAATTTTTTAACAAAAATAAAAATGAGTTATTTGTTTCACAGGAATCAATAGCTACTGGACATAGATCCTAGCATTTTAACGTGTTATGGGCTGTTAAATAATTTCCTTGAAAAATTAAACAATTTTGGATGGTGCTTTACAAAGAATGCCATATTCAAGTTACAATCACAACTTATATCAGTTAAGTTGTTTTGTATAAAGTATATGAACAAATTGAAGAGGAAAATTCTATCGTTTAAGATTATTTATTCAACAATTCAAATTCCTACGTCTTAGTCACTCACACATCATTATTAATTACAAGAGAGATTTTTTGAACTTATTAACTTTTGTCTGCATTATTCATTTAAGGAATACTAGACATTTTTTAATTAGGAGTAAATGTAGAAGTTACAAACTCCGCCAGTAGAACCTTCGGGTCTACTGCCGGTCCCAAGCCCGGGTAAAGGAGGAGGGTTGGATATGGGGTTGGCGACCCCATTCCGTCGAAAACTAACTTGCCAAAAAACGCTAACCAGAAAAAACAATTCAAACCATTTTAACTCTGCCCTGGGAGTTGGAAGAAGAATTATGACGTCTCGTGATGAAAGCCGAGTTCCCTCGGAAGTCACGGGGCCGATGCCTCTTCTGACAACCAGAGCAACCATTCACTTAGGTACATGGAACGTTCATACATTGTGGGAGACTGGAAGACTATTTCAAATTGCGGCAGAAATGAAAAGATAAAACCTCGAGGTGCTCGGAATCAGTGAAACGAATTGGACACAGGTAGGACAACTGAGACTAGCTTCAGGGGATCTGCTGTTATACTCTGGTCATGAAGAGGAAAATGCTTCACATACACAAGGAGTTGTCCTGATGCTGTCCAAACATGCACAACATGCACTGATAGGATGGGAATCTCATGGACCGAGGATCATTAAAGCATCCTTCAAAACAAAGAAAGAGGACATTACAATGAACGTCATCCAATGTTATGCACCTACCAATGACTACAATGACGACGTTAAGGATCAATTCTACGAAAGGCTGCAGTCAATCGTCGAGAAATGTTCACCAAAGGATTTGACCATTCTTATGGGAGACCTGAATGCCAAGGTTGGCATGGACAACACTGGATATGAAGACATAATGGGACGACATGGATTGGGAGAAAGAAATGAAAACGGTGAGAGATTTGCAAACCTATGTGCCTTCAACAAACTGGTCATCGGTGGCACAATATTCCCGCACAAACGCATACACATAGCCACATGGATTTCACCGGATCACACTACTCAGAACCAAATTGATCATATCTGTATCAACAAAACGTTCAGAAGGACTATGGAGGATGTGAGAACCAGGAGAGGAGCTGATATAGCCTCAGATCACCATTCGCTGATCGCCAAAATGAGACTGAAACTAAAGAAGCACTGGACAACGGGACAGACAACATCACAGAAGTTTAATACGGCCTTTCTTAGGGATACTGTAAAGCTCAACGAATTCAAGATAGCCCTCACCAATCGGATCCAGGCCTTTCAGGATCTACTCAATGGAGAGGACGCAACATTGGAGAACAATTGGAAAGGGAATAAGGAGGCAATCACTTCAACATGTCAGGAGGTCCTTGGTCGCGAGAAGCATTATCACAAGGAATGGATCTCTGTTGATACTCTCGCAAAAATTGAAGAAAGGAAGAACAAGAAGGCAGCAATCAATGTCAGCCGAACAAGAGTGGAGAAAGTTACCGCACAAGCTGCATACACAGAAGCAAACAGGGAAGTGAAGAAGAGCATCAGAGCTGACAACGGAAAAAAAAGATTAGATACATTGATATCATCAACAAATCATGAACAATACTTGTTTTGCTTAAATATCTTGTTTGATAGATTAATTTACAGCACCATCATCCATAAGGGCATGTTGATAAATCAGTAGTTTGCATAGTGGATGTTTTATCCGCCTACCTGTCTCATTCACAATCATGGATCAGTCAGTCAGTCAGTCAATCAGTCAGCAATGTATGATTGAATGCTTACAATATTCAAAACACCATTAATTTACAAACTTGACTCTTTAACTTCACTTATTAGTTAATCGAAATGATCAACCAATCTATAGACATTGTTGATGCATTGAGGTGGGAACAAAGTCAGTTAGAATTTCCATTTTGATTAAATAATTACAATTATCCTTCAATCGGCTGGCATCTAATAATCATTATAATATTTAATAAAAATTAATCATCATCATCAAAGTCACAGATCAATATGATGCTTATTCCTTATTCAACAATTTGGTCTATTTAATTGGAAATTAATTAATTAATTCATTCATTCATTAATATAACTAAACAGAATGTTTGTTTTGTTGAATTTTTTTTTCAAACTTATTATTTTTATTTATTTAATAATTAAAATAAAGAAAATAATAATTCTAATGATGATGTGAATAATGAGTGAATGAATGAATGAATCAATCAATCAATCAAATAATTAGGCATATTATGACATAGAATTAATTAGTGATTGAATGTAAAATTGATGCATTTTAGAGAAATGTAACATATATAGAATTAAAAAAAAAACAAAACAAATCCAAACAAAATACTTAACTTATAATGAATAAAAAGTATAAACAATTAGAATTGATAAGTGAAATAAATAACAAATATTTGATAATAATAATAATAATAATAATAATTTTTTTTTATAATGGTGGAAAAACAAGTAAATCATTAAATCAATGTAATAAATGTGTATATATTTCATCAAACCTGATGGCATAATATTAATCACAAGTTTTGGATAGGCTAAATTTGAGCATCCACTTTTTTGTCCACAAATTCGATAACAATCTGGTCCAGGTTTACAACCGATCTCATCTAATCCAGTTAAAATAATCGAAATGAACAAATATTGAAAGAAAGAGAAAGAGTAAATTTTTTTATTAATTTGATCAATTAGAATAGTTCAATTCAAAAAAAAAACAGAAAAAGAACTTTAATAAATTAAAAAATATCAAGGAGTAATTAATTACTTCAGACTAAATAATTAGTGAAAAAAAAAATGCTGATAAAAATAGCTGGGTGTTTGTGTTCGCCGATAATAATACATATTTACTTACACCTGTTACTCCTTCCTAATAGAGCAGTAATCGCCGACCGGCATACTCTAACCTACTCTGTCTTGAGCCTCCGTTTCTAGTTCTGTCCAATTGATATTCATTCTTTTCATGTCTGTCTACAATTCTCGGTGTAATGTGTTTGTTGGTCTTGCTTTTTTCTTCTGGTATTGAGGATTTCAAGTTAGGGCTTGCCTTTTGATGCAGTCGGATGCTTTACTCAATATGTATCCTATTCAACTATAGCGCCTTTTCTTAATTTAGTTCTGAGCCACAACCTGGTTTGTTCTCTCCCACAGTAAGTTGTTGCCGATGGTGTCTGGCCAATGGATCAGAAGTTTTTCTGCGTAGACAACTGTTAACATGTACTTGTATCTTAGGGATGATGGCTTTGGCAGTTTTCCAAGTTTCCAACCCATACAGAGGATTCTATCCATTAATTTTCAGTGTGACCAATTATCTAGGTAACTTCATATCACGTGCACAATGTTGAACTATTAGATTGTGGTTATAGGTGGTCAGCAAGGAGTCTACTTTGAGTTTTATTGTGTCAACACTTTCTGATTTCTAAAAAGAAAAGATTTTGGCTTTTCATAAAACAAAAAGTTACCAACAATCATCTAGGATTAATTTGATTTTGTCATAGAAACTATGAACTATATCAATGAAATGTAGTTTCACTGAGCAGCATGATAATTTGAAAGACGATTTGTGACATTTAAATTAGAATGAAATAGAGACGTAATAAAATAGAATTTTTAATCGAACTATACAATTGACTTGATGAAAAGTCGACAACAATTTAGAATATAACAACAACAACAACAACAACAACAATAATAATAATAATAATAAGTCATCAAAATTTGATAATTCAATAGATTATACTCTGTATTACATAAGAATAAGATTCCCATTCAGTTTGTGCACATTGGCCTGAATAGAAAAGCTCCAGACATTTGCCTAATTCTATCAAAATAACAAACTTTGTAGAAAATATCTACTACTACTACTATTGAAAATAAAAATCTCATCTGTTAAATGGTTACAACTAAAAATGATGAATGAATCGATTGAAACGAATCGAAAAAGATCAAAATATAAAAATAAAAATAAAAACAGTCAACTACTAATTCCGCATTTATAGACTGTTGTGTATTATGCATAAACACTAATTTACATTGTGTAAAATTGGTTTTTTTTAGGCTTTTTTTTTCTTTCTTTTTCATTCATTCACTGAGATTTGAATTCGTGTGTAGTATGTGTGTGTGTGTATGTGTGTGTTGAATCAATTGAATGTTTGAATTCTTGACACAGTGAAATATCAATAAATACAAATCAAAATCATTGCAAATTAGACTGTTAGTATTGTTAGTAAATGAATAAATAAATATTTAAATTTTGTTTTGTTTTAATTTTTTTGGTTATTCATCATAGTTTTAGTTATATAAATAAAATGAAATCAATCAACATGAATCTGTTGTTGTTGTTGTTGTTTTTTTATAGAAAAAAAAATAATCATAAAAATTATGTTAAATGTATTGTTTTAGCTTTGACATGTGTTAGAAAATGAAACAGACAACAATAAAACAAGTACAATTGGTGAAATTTGATTTTTAGCATTTTAATGTGTTATGCCCCCAAAGCATTAATTTAATGTTCAACTTATATATATATATATATATACATCTCATATATATATGTATATATGTATTTTTGTTTTGTTTTTTTCAATTAGAATTATGAAAACTAGTTAGTATTTATTGCATATTTATAATTATCAGTCAATCATTGTTAGACCACAGTATTAGAAACCTGGTAGCACTGAAATATGACCCTTTTGTCCTGTGCTATAGGGGATTGACTCATTGAAGAGAATTTCAGAAAGTCAACAAATTATTAACTAAACTGATATTGATAGATTACAAATTCTATTGAAAGTTTAATCTGTATTTTGAACTCTTGTCAATAGGTGGTTGATAATGATGACGAGTAAAATAAGTCATCATTCATTGTGAATGCTTATCGATACTGTGAATTGCCAGACTATATGAAATGAACAGCTGTATTGGTTGAAAAACACAATGCTTCCTTTACACATATCACATGATATCAAGAAGGATCAGTGAATAATAATAGGAAAAACTATTTAAATTAGCCTTTTTCTTCTCACGCAGAAAATTGAATGTCAGTCATACTATAATTGACTAATGTAAACAAAAAAGAATATCTAGGACTATTTGTCCTATACAAAACTATAAAAAAATATCAACTCCATAGGCATTGGCTATCACATTAAATATGATGTGTGATAAGATTACATTTTCATAATGGGGGAACCAATTATAGAATTAAAAAAAAATTCCTAAATAAAATTTCACATAAAATTGGAAAGTGATAACATTTGATTTACCTGGAAATAGTATTCGACTTATCATGCCAGGTATGACCATTAGAAATAAAGGAAGTTGTTTAATAAGACCAGCCATTAATGTTGCACCTTGAGCATGAGATAAACTTTTTGCCGCTAGAACACGTTGTACCATCATCTGTGTTATGTAAAATAACAATATAACTTCAAATTAATGCAATTCAGAAATGCCATCAAACCAGCACTAAACATGCGCAACAAATTGATACGCATCTATCTATCTCTCGATATATATATATATATATATATATATATATATATATATATATATGTACAATAGTAGTCAAAGTCAAACTAAGAACTGGTATTTTGTTTTTCTTGACTAATCACTAACAGGATATTCAACTAAATGAAATCAAAAGTTAATATGATATTTAAAAATTTTTTAAATTATAAAAAAAATGAAGAAATTACAAATTGAGTGTAAGTCGAATGTCAAAGTGATTGACATTTAAACACTTGATTTCTAATTTGTAAGTCACAAACTTAAACTGTAGCCTTAATTCAATCTGAACATTTACTTAATGCATTGTATCAGCAGCGTATTACTCAATAAGTATTGCTCATAGCTTGGTAAAATTATATTATTGCTATTGGTCGGTATCATTAATAAAATGAAATCAAAGTTTTGATGACAAAATAGGAGACTATTACCATTGATTTTGATTTAAACAAGCTTCATATCGGATGCCTAAAATATGATAATAAAATCAATAATGTTAAAATGATATCATTGCTCCTAAAGCGCATTATTCCAGGTGAAGAAGTTTGGAAAGCTCAACTTTCCCTGTGTGTTTTACCCTTCACCTTTGAACATTAATAGTAATTTGAAGTAGAAATAAATTTTAACAATAATAATAATAATACAATAATACAGACACTTTTCACGATATACAACTTCATTATTCACATACCTGATCAGTACACCAATACCATATTGATGCAGGTGTTTGACCGAGTAGAAATCCAAGCCATGGCATGTCTGGATCATCGATTCCACGTAATAATACAAAAGCATTCGAAGATGGTAGACTGCATCCTAAACTAGGCGGAACATTTGGTGAACTGGCCAATTGGGTCAGTGAAGTAGAATTAGTCGTGTTAAGAGCATTAGCTAAACTTATTATTATATCGGAATCTTCAGATAATGAACTATTCATTTGTGCTATAGCATGACCATAAGATGAAAGGACACCATTGAAACCTCCAACATTTATGTAGCCTACATAAATTAAATAGAAAAAAACAATTGCAGTAATAAGTTGTATGTAATAAATGTATTTAATAAAATTGAGAAGTTGTGTAATTCGGTAATATATATACATATATATATATATATATATATATATATATATAGAGAGAGAGAGAGAGAGAGAGAGAGAACAACAATATTTGTAGTAATATTGAAAAAGGAATCCAGTTATTCTTTCACATGTCACATTCGAATAATAGTTCATGTTGTAGCAACACAAAATATCCTGTAACAAGAAGGTTTTCATTACATTTCCTGAATTGGCATCTCAATTGTAAATTTCGCATACACATCTAGTTCGTTTTATTATTTCGAAGAGAATAAAATAACATGAATTCATTTTAATTCGTTTGGTTGTCATCAACTGATTACAACACCATTAATATATATATTCTCAAATCAAAATTCTCATTGACAATTGACATACTGATCAGCACAAAAGTGATCTATGTATCAATTAAGATAGTAAGGTCATAAAAATATTTTACATATATATATATAAAGTTGGGAAAGGAAAAGTTCAGAAATATCGAACTATAGTGGATTAGAAATCAACCAGTCAAGAAACGTTTGACGAATATGTAATGATACAAACGAGGTTAGATTAATCGACAATAATATGTGTTGGCATCAGTCAATTAGAATTAAAATCGAGAATTCAATAGAAATGAAAATGATGCAATGAAACAGTTGAAATAAAGGATAATGTAATAGAATGGAGATGATGTAACTGGGCTAAGAAAGGATTTATAACTGGTTCTTTATAAAGACATTAATTCCTTTTCACAGGTTTGATAGCTATGGCTTCAGTAAATTCAGAAGATGCAAACTCAGTTGCTTATTAATCATTATGAAAGACTTCAATGTATCCATTTAAAGTCCAGTATCAAGGAGGTGACTCGAGAATGCACTGTTGAATACCCGTTTAGTTTCATTGACCTCAAACATTTTGAATATTTAAATCGAACCTGGGCCCTTTTTTCCTGTTCTACCGATGTGACTGTTTCAGTAAATCTATTTGAATTTAAGTATACAGTTCACAGCAACATGAAACGGGTATTTGTTGACTTTCGATTATGTTAAAGATTATGCAGTTTTGGAAAAAATAATCAATTCAACCGCAGGATATGCTCTTATCAATACAGTTTTTAGTTTTGGATTCATTCTCCTTTTAAATTTAAGTTGAATAAAAACAGTCTTTATGTTTACTGTAGTTTCCTTAGGTTTTTATCTTATCTTCACGCTTTCCATATTTCTTGGTAAATTTCTGAAGATATCCATTGTTCTGGTGGTGTTTCGGTCTCTGTGAGCTGGAGCTCACAGAGACCGAAACACCACCACAATCATTCACCTGAGCTTCTCCATAATTTCTCTACCATCTCATATCTATTGATTGTTGTTGCCGAAACATTTTTTAGCATTTATTAGTTCATCATCTCGTCATTCAGGAGTAAATATCCTTTCTGTTTTGTGAAGCACGATTTTAACCAATTCTATTGTAAGCTATTGAAATCCATATGAATTCCATTCATTCTACATTTTATTGCGATATCAAGAAGGCGGAAATTGTTTTCATTTTCATATTCCATAGTAAATTAAATATTTTTTTTACATGTGTAGTTCGTTGAAAAGTTTCAGCAGATTTCGTCGTATGTTATTGATTATTAGATACAATGAAAGCGTCACACCACTCTAACATTGAGCAATACATCATTTCATTGATTGTCCTTATTTAAGCTTTGGTGTTCTTTCGAGAGAGATTAACCATAAAAATATCTACTACGATAAGGCTCAACCCATCGCTACATCACCATCTTTAGTTTAACGAGATATGTATGACATTATTGTACTGAAACTGATGTATCTTTCACACGTACATTTATCAGTCGTTTAAGTTCTGATGCTGCAGCTGTTAAACAGTGTAAAACTACAATGATTAATATAATTCTAACCACAGATCTAACATATTTCATTTAGCGAAGTTTTGATGACTATACAAAGCGTAATCGAGAATTACAATATGAAGAATAGGATACAGCATGAATAAATGAGCATTTTTTGAAATAATGCTTTCAGTGTATGACCTTTCAGGAAATGATCCTGATCCTGCTGACAAATGCAGGGTCTTCTGATCGTATCAGGCAACATTGCGAACATGTTTGATTTGTGATTTAAGCTCTTTCCCAACTAAATAAATGCAATGTTACATCAGAACCGGCCTACTTCAACGGTCGAACTACTGATGCAGGTCGAAGCACTTGTTGTTGTTGATCACTGTTCTCATCTAAGAAGTCTGTTTAACTCTTGTGAGTATATGTCTGATCATATCTTGGCATTTTCCAACTAGCATAACTTGCAATGTACTCGTGATGTTCATCTCTCAACGAAAAATGGTATCTTTATCTTATTTTGCTAATGTAGCATAACAACTTGGCGTGATGTACATATACACCAGGCTCTATGTTAAAAATAACTGAGTAAATTGTATTGTTGTGTATTGTATGATATGTTATCATTAGAAATCAATAGTATGTGCACTGAGAAATAATATCTAATCATTTATTCAAAGGATGTTGGGCTTTCAATTCCTATATATAATGGTTGCTTGAAGAGATAACTTATGTAATATGATTTAAAAAACCAATGATTACTGATAATGGGAGTAGTAGTAGTAGTAGTAGTATACTTGCCTATTTATTTATAACACAAAATTGATTATTTCGTATAGACTTATTGAATTATTAAAATTATTTCATTATCATCGGTGCAAATGCTATAATTTTAGTTGTAAATAGTATACTGAATTCATTTCAACCTTTATTGATTGATATTGGTTTTTTTGTTATTGACAGTGATAGAATTTGATGATGAATAATTAAATAAGTGATGATGATGATGATGATGATGAGGAGGAGGAGGATATTTCTAGTAATTCATTCATTTACACAAAAAGGCTACTGATTTTCTCTTCTATTGAGAATTAAAGAAACAGAAGACGATGATGATGATGATGATGATGTGAAACATTCAGAATTTAAATAGAACAACACAATAGAGAATAAACTATTTTAATTTTATCATTAGCTATTTTTGTCATTTGAAAAATTTGTCAAATTCTTATTCTATTTTACAATTATTGAAATGTATGCCCAACAAATAAGCCAGAAATTATACATTAATTTCAATGATAATTGAAAAATAAAAACCAATAAAAAAAAAAAGGAAGCAGAAATTTCATTCAATTTGAACACTTCACTTACTGATTATGGCTAGTATTAAAGCACCAATAATCATGACAAAAAATTGCAATGTATCTGTATAGAGAACAGCTGCTAATCCACCTGATATAAATTAATTAATAGATTTAAAAAAAAAAGGAGATGAAATCAATCAGTCTTATTGACATGATTTTAAATAAAAATTATTGAAAAGTATCATGAAATAAAGTCAAATGGTAATTTTTCCAATTAACAAATATAATACCAATTGGTAAAATTCAATTGATCAATTGATATAATTTATTGCAATGAATATAACTATTTGATAAAAATATCAAATGCTTTATTATTATTATTATGATTATTATATATTTTGTAATGGTATTTTTTTTTTATCAAAATTCATTCATTATATGAAGTTCATATTAAATTATTTATGAATTACTAGTTTTAACATGATTACTTGTTGTTTCATATGTTGTATACATACATAAGTTCATTTAGAACTTTTCATTTTTATACAAGTGATTATTTATTTTTTAAAAAAAGTTCAATATGACTTTTTCAGAACATTTCTACAACAATTCAGGAATGATGAACAGTCAGTCAGTCACTGTTCAATGTGTTTCCACAGACCGTTTACAGTATATTGAAGAATCATGTTGACCAGCAAATTCAAATAATAACATTCTGAAAAGGAGAAAAAGAGACATACAACTTGTTAAAGAAACATGGTTCCATTAAAACTCCTTCTACCTATTCTAACAAGAAACTATTGCTTACCAACTACCAACTTTATACACTCTGCTTAAGTAAGCATAGAATTGTTTACCACATCTTCTAAGTAATAATGATCAGAGACTTTGAGCTGGTACCAAAAACTCAATCTGAAAAATATATCCTTGTAATCGTTTGTGTTTTACTGATATGAGCACTCTGAATCTTTGGAACAAGCCATGTAAATGTCTTCCTGTATTTTTCTAACTTCTGAAATTGTTGTACTGTCTTCAATTTTAAGAACGACTGCGTTGATCATTCGCATAAAAAATCTGAGATAATACTCAACAGATTACATAACTGTAGAAACTGTCAAAAGAACTAAAGATTGTAAGGATATAAGCCATCTCATTTACGAGACTCTCTCTAGTAACAGTTAAAATATACATCAAAGGTCTTGCGATTTTCTAACGTAACCAAAACATGACACCAGTCCATGAAGTCACTGACAATTCGACTAACCCGTGCTAACAGCTGTGGAGTGCCTGGTTAGGGTCCGCGTGATAACAATGAAGAGTGATCAAAGAATTTCAATGACATGACTCAAAAGCGTTTGCAATGGCGCAGATGGATCTGTTCTTTATCTTCGCTGAAATTCTAAGCTTCTGGATTCCTCATAATTCGTTTTACTTTTATTTCACTGGTTCATATTATCTCGAATCTTATCTTCGGTCTTAAATTTCCTCTATTATCACTGGTACTATTGCTACCTCTGCTTTGCTGGACTTGGACATGACAATGTCATTTTTGTGTGCTAATGGTGTACAGCCACTTGAACTAATGTATATATGTGCCAAGTTCTACGTTGTAACCGACTGGACGCTTGTTGTCATAGATGCAATCAAGTCAGGTGTTGATTACAGACTAGTCAACTTTTTAATTGTTTCCGGATATCACTCATCTGAGTTAACTAGAAGATCAGAGTTATTACTACTAATACTGCTACTATTACTACTACTATTAGTATTGCAATAATTCACATTCAATAAAATTCGACTCAAGCTGTAAGCTTAATTGATATAAAGGATTTTTAGCACACATAATAATAATAATAATAATAATAATAATTCGATTAAGCGACTAACTATGAATAGATTTGAGTAAATAAATCTGTGACAGGTTAAAATATTCATCTCTTTTTAAAATATTAATCATGAATGTAATTCACTGTTGATGAACATTGTTTCGAAATGTACAAAAATTAACAGTTTACTAACTCTGAAACATTCAAATCATTGATCATTCTAGTCACTAAAGCCAATTAAATTCTGGTCAAAATTAATGCGTGATTTATGGATTTTATTTTAAGGTTGTGCATAACAAGTTAAAAGTTTAATTAAGCGATGTGAACTGATTAACTTTCCGTGCTCATTGATGCTTTTTACATTATGTGAGAAAATAAATTCATCATTACCTATATTATACATGTCAAAATCATTGTATTGATAACAATTGAAGTATGAGAAATATTGATTACTATTCCTGATTAATTGTTATCAACACACTCTGAACACATTGAAATTCTAAATATAAAAGTTGACAGTCAATGAAATCTCATCCCATTAACATAAATAAACAAATAGTGCAGTAGACTAATAGTTTAAGTGGTTAAGTTTTTTATCCATCAAGTTGGAGATTCAAACTCGACTCTACCATATCCAGATAGTATCAAACACCAATTCGAATAGATTTATTTGTACGTACTGAATAAGTTGGTTAAATAAAATAAATACCTTAATGAAATCAATAATGGTAGGTAGCTCAATGCTATATGACAGACCGATTTATCTGAAAGCAGTTAGAGAATTATTATTATTATTATTTCGATTAAATTGTATTCTCTTAGGTTTATTCAACAAGCTTTCATTGTTAATCAGGCAACATAACCAGCACCAACCACCACCGGTAGCAGTGAAGTATTTGAAATTATCTATTTGCTAATAGCAATTTGTTACGTTGCATATTCTTTGTTGTTGTCTTCTTGTTGCCTTGATTTTTTTCCGATGTAATGCGTTCTTCTTCTCAGCTAGGGCAGTTTATTTTTTGTCATTTCATATTTTAGTTTGTTTTGCACTGATTAAACTAACTTAGCTAGTTTATACGCTAGGTCTATCCTAAACAGAGGGAATAATTCAGCTTTTTAATTTCCAATACGTTGTTTGCTGTTAGCTGTTACACCTAAAAGTTCATGCCTATTGATGAGTTGAAGAGAGGAATTTGTCGATGAAATTTCATAGATATATATAATTTCATCAAACAATCATCTTCACTTCCACTTAGTGTTGTACGTGTGTGTCACAGTTCTTTCAACAATTCAAATAAACCTTTCATACAAAATTGTAGTTAAAAATTTGAAAAAAAAGATTTAAGTTTCTAGTTTCATTGTAATGGTATTAAGTGATCAACATATCCAGAGAAGGAAATGTTGTAAATAAACTTCTTCAATAATATGATTTTATATCACTGAAGAACTTGTTTATTAACCAGATGAGCACTAATATTAGATGAAGACTGAAGTAAACAATAATTAAGGCAGCTAATTTATGGACTAAAATTTAATTGAAATATATTATTAATTATCTAAACTATTTGATATGTATATTCCTTCTATCAAAATCTTTCTATTAACCAATCAATAGTTGTTGTAATATTTATTGTCATTATTTTGTTGACAATTAATCATTCACAATCTTCCCTACTCTCACACACTCCACATACTGTAGTTTCCACTTATCATTGCTTCTTTAATAACTTCTGACATTAGTTAACTCATTGATGCTACATTCATTTCGAATAAGGCAATAATAACCATTAAAAAGTCAAGGCTGATTTAACAAACTGCTAGTCACAAATGGACAAGTTCAGATAGCTGATGTCTGTTTGAAGTTTTTGATGACATTTTTTTCTGAAAAACAATGAAAGTTTGACGGTTTAACAAAGTCTGCTCAATAAATCCTATACCGAACTCATTCTCTCAAGGTACAAATTTTTTTCAATTTTCTGCATTGTTTGTATCACATAATCAACCTGGCGTATAAAAACCAACCCGATGCTATTAGAAGCCTCGAAATAGTTTGACTCATTCTCTATCTTTAAACTTTGAATTAATACCATTCCTCACTTCTTACTATTAAAACTCATCTCTCATCTTTTTGAACAGGACCTGTTGTGCTTCGATATAAATTGTAGCTGGAATCAATTCTCCTCTTGTGCTTTTCGATTTTCGTCGTAGCAGTGTTGAGTATAGAGAACCGAAAAAAAACACATGTATGTTCTAGATCATACGTTGATGGTAACTCGGCTTTGTGAAGAAACAATACAAGGCTTTTTATGTGTTGTGAAAAAATATGTTATGATGACAGGTCTTGAGATTGACGATAATAGATCCTAGCTAGAAGCTGAATACTGAGATGAGATTCAAGCCCAGGCTACTCCAAAAAAACTCGTTCTATGGAGTTAGTGAAGTAGGATAACAAGGGATATTGATTCTAATAAACAACATGAACATGCAGAACTAATGCAAAAGGTAAATGATATTTTATCAAGGAATATATGAAATAGGACTCTGTGCAGGCGAAAATCAAAATTTCAAACAAAAAAGATAACCAATAAGTAGTTTTAGATCAACTTTCTCAACCTTTATTTTAGGTGCTTTACTATTTGTTTGAATTTTAAGTATTGCTTAAACATCTATTTTCGTTAATAACTGATTTAACCACATGGATTGAAAAATTTTATGATTTTACATAATAACAGAAACAGCATTTCAAAAGAAAAAGAGGTATTATTTGCTTTTCAAGCGTTTTGTATGCAGAAAACTCAGTTTGGAAAATACTTCTTCATTGAAAAGTTAGAATGTTACGTCTTTATTGATATCGTTGACTTTGGGGTCAACTTCGGTAGCTTAAGAACATTATGCTTATTTCTGTGCATAAATTGATTTGACAGCGAAGATTTCTTATAAATATTTGTAACTTATAATTATTATGAGATTGGATTATAAACTCTTATAATAAAAGTAGACTTAACATTTACGCTTTTTTTCAACTCTCATTACAAAGGATCTTACTATAAAACTCCCATATTTGGATAAACATAACAGAGTAAATTGAAATGCACAAGGTTTTTTGTTTACATTTCTCTAACAAAACTTGACTTATCAAGAGTGCAGTGTATAAAGTCAATGCTCATTGACGATTACAAAGTCTACTAGAGATCATTCCAAAGATATGGGTAGTAGACACGGATTTCGTCGTTCAGAGACTAGTGTAACTTATCAGAAGAAATTCATAAACATATTTTGATATTTGCTTAAAATGTAGCGAAAATACTTAGAGAATCTTACCAGTAACAGTAATAAGACCAGTCAGCAAAAGCAGCATAACAATTGATACCCAAGTATTCCATTTTAATGCTTCAGTTAAAAACAGAGAACCTGAATATAAATTAACCTAAAATCAACAGTTTACAATCATAAACTTGCATGGATAATATTGACTAATGTTAATAAATTATTTATTTGAGTTACTTGACAACCAGAACTTGAAGTTTCGTAATTATGTACTAAAACTAGTTTGATTACACGTACAACATAGCAGAATGTTGCACAATATGGAGTTAATTAGCTGTTTCATACATAATGGGACGAAAATTAAAAATGATGTAGTCGGTTGTTCGAAGATGATGTATTTAAACAGCGATCTAGTATGATTAAACCTATTAAATGTAATAAATTTTGAGTTTACAGGTATATATGAATAGTAGGAGAGTGAATGAAGTTAGTTGAAATCACTAAACACTAACTGATAATAGAAATGCATATTTAAATAAGGCCAAAACGTCTATCTTTATTGTATGTCATATTCTGACATCCATACACCGTAGTAAGATGATTTGTTTCACCGATTCGTAGATATAAAACTGACATCTGATAAGAAGCCTAAAGAATAACGAATGTAGGTTAATATGTTATGCTTTTTTTTCTGAGTGTAGCTTTTAAGAATAAATGTTAGTAAGACGTGACTCAAGGGGAAAAACCAGTTAGATTACGGCAATTTTTATTACGACTGGTTGTTCACATATTAGTTAACGGGGTTCTGGGAGTGAATACTCTGAACTTTTGAGATTATTTATAACAGTTGTAAGACATCTGAGACAGGTTAAAAATACAGCTGATTTAGAAGCATCTTGGTATACTTTGGTGAAATTCCACTTTAATTAGGCTTCTCTCTAGTATGACAAACATTTGTATTGCTTATCAAAGGAGGCTGTTTGTCTACAAAATTAAGTCAGAAAGGAATGAAAGTTGCGATTTCTTTAAACAACACTTTCATCAAAGAGTTATTTTTAAACGCATAAAAAAGTATTTTTAATTAATTTTCAGGCTAAAAGAAATTTAACTTAGCCATTACATGAAAACACTCAATCGTTAGGTGTCGCTTTTGGTTCTAAAACGCAGTTGACAGTTTAGATTTGCAGGCATTTGTATTTAACTACTTTTTATTGATATAAATCAACTTATCGCTCAACAAATAGATCATTTAAAGTATTTTGTACTATGCGTTTTAGCCCAGAAAATGCATAACACGTTACAAAACCTTTTACTCCTAGTAAGCATGAGTTTCAGGTGCAAAGCAATAAACTGGCTTGCAGCTCCGGAAGCTGATTCTCTGGCAGACAAAAATATAGCAAACCACTAACAGCCATCGTTGGGGGCTACGATGCTTGCATTCGATCTTTAGCACAAATCTGAACCCTGGTCATTCTTTGGTACAAACTGGTGTTCGCTTACATTCTGCTAGATCTAGGGAATGCTCAGAAAATACCACTTCGCGATAACCTGGAACATTAGTATATCGAAAATGTATTAGACAAAAGCCAGCTAGATACTGGCTTCGAGACACACTGAAGGGAAGTTAACACTATGATAAAGGTAAAGTTAAAAATGTAAGCCAGCAATAGATCACAAAAACAAATGGATTGCAAGTATTGAAAATGTTTAAAATCCTATAGCTGTTAGGACCGAATAAGTCAACAAATAGTGAGGTCATCGTGAAGAAGGACAGAGACTTGATCTAGTTTTAGAATGAGTGAAAAAGATGAACAGGACACTTTGAGGACCGTTTTAACGGCCTCAGCTAAATTCTGCTTGCACGTTATTCCCCATTAACATAAATACAAGACCATTTCATCGCCAACTGAATTTGAATTTTCACCATCAAGTGATAATTTCCAGGGCTCCAAACTTCATTTTATTTAACACCATCCTAGATAAACTCTAGGAAACGGTACGTTTGTAGCCTTAGTTATGCAGTTTTAGAAGCAAATGAGTAGTGATGATGATATAGCTACAAACCGATGTCTTCGAAAAAATCACACAAATTCTCAATCTGCCCAGTAAATTTTAAATTGAATAAAATTCTTTACGCCCAATTATTCGAATTCGTTTCCTTATCCTGAATAGTACCTTTTGTGCTAAGACACCAACTGTAGCTGGAATCAAGTCTCCTCTCTTACTTCTAATCTTTTCAATCACCTTTTCTTGGAGCTGGTGTAACGTATAGTGAACTAAAAAAACATTTATATGTCCCAGGTCATACGTTGCGGTGGCTAGATTTTATGAAAGCAAAGATAAAATATATATCATCCTCAATGTCTCGAGTAACAATGAAAATGTTTTGAGATCAGTTAATCCTCCCATAAGTGCTAAATATTCCTTTAAAACTCATCCGTATATATGCTTAATCTGTCCATTTTAAGCGAATCAGAATTGGAAAATCTGGTCGTGACAAAATCATTGCAAAACTGAGAGTATATCGGTTAAATATACAAATCATTTCATTAAATAAATCTTACGTTATCAAAAATACTGAGTTAGGCAGTTTAGGTTCTGCGAACTTACGGAAATTTTTGTAAAAATATATAGTATAAGCGACAAAACGGCAAGATATATATGTATCCTTTCTCCGCCATATCGCTTCTTCATATACTCTGGTAATGTAAATACCTAGAAAAAGTTAGAAGCATCAAAAGAGACGTACTCCACTTGCAATATACACCGGCAGAAATACCCACCCGAGAAGCTGAAGCAAAATTGACGCCTGAAAGATGAAGTACAGTATGCTATTAGAACGTCCTGTTGTACATTAAACAAGTAATCAGACTCATATAACTTATTGATATACTACATAATTGTTATCAATGGTAACAATAGGCAAATAAATTTATTAGTGACAGTAAACGTTTATGGAATGAATGAGTTACAGAAATGTCTACTTACATTTAGTTCGAAAGCTCCTACTGCTATGCCAGCTGCTGCTCCTGACCCAGCTAAACCGATAAAATGTTCACTTCCAATGTTACTAGCAAATAAGGATGCCCCAACCTATGTTATTACGCTTTACTCAATGAAGAAGACTTACAGGAAGCCATGTCATAAAGCGTCCAGCTAAAAAATAACCAGTGACAGTTCCTCTTCTAGAAGTAAATAATGCCTGATTAGACATGATATTTATAAGTCATACGAAAACTTACATATATTCCAGTAGCAAATAAAGCTATAAAGTATATAACAAGAACTATTATGTCCAATACATGAAGCTTCATTGTTTGCAAAGATCGATTAACTGAAATTACACAAACAAAGCTGTAGATGCATGAGTATTATCAATTCTATGTGTCAAAAATATAAAAGCTATAAAATTTGATTCTCAAGTAAACCCAAACTGTTAGTTATCACTTTAGGCACAAACCATAACTGCAGTGAAATTCCTAACCGTTACACAAAAAAGCGTGAATGTGAACGCTAATTTTGAATGATTCAAACACTCAATTGGCTGTTCAACCTAAAGTTTGTCGGTAGGCTGGTACAACCCAAGTGATTCCTCTCAGTTATATTCTTGTTACTTTTGAACGGTTTCCTGTTTCTGATTATGCACAATGTGCAGTATTCTAGTCATTTTAATAAATATGTATGAATTTATTGAGGGTGGAAGGTTACATCTCGGTACAGTAGCGTTTCTGAACCATGTAGCTATCACACTAACAAACAAAAAATTATCTAATCATTCAATATCTTTACATGAGCAAGTAAACCAACTAATTTTTGCTTTCTTTCTAATGTTTCAGTGCGGTTATATCTTCGAAATCAACAGGCTGTGTTCCGTACATCGGACTTGAAGATCATGTGACTTCTCTCTCTCACATCGAGCGAGAATTCGGGATGAAAATGGACAACGTTGCAACAGCCTCGACAGCAGTATGTCACAGCATATATAATGGGAAAAGCAAGACTCTTGGATACATATATACAAAGCTATCACCGACAACCTATCACCGGTTATGCACACAAAATACTCTGATTCCGTTGACCAAACACCGAAATTAACAAATTATTGTGGATGAGAACAAACTTCCTCTCAGGTGAGCAGGCAAATAGAAGAGAGTGCTAAGGCCGAATAGGATGCACATGGAAGAATAGATTAGTGCGAATCACGAGGCCAGCAGTAACTTGAAATTCTCAAGGCTAAATTAAAAGAGATGGACCAGAAAATATATCGCGTAGTAAATAAAAGGCAGATTTCAAAATGAAGAACGAAAATTGATAAGAATTCAAATATGAGTTCCAAGGCATATTGATTAGTCAGTAGCATACGCCATTTCGGTTCCACTGACCCACTCCTATCTTGTCTCAGAAACTACCTTGAGAACAGAAAGTTTCGTACCAAGATAAATAGAGTGCATACTAGCCGGTGAGTCTTACCATCAGAAGCTTCAAAGTGGACCATCATATGTCCACTCCTCTTCCTGAGATTCATCAATGACATGTTAGATAAGATAGGGTAAACGGAACTAATCTATGCAGACGATGCAAAGATCTATGTATCCTTGAGGAACGAAAGAGTTACAGCTGAGCTTCAGAAAGATCCAGCAGGGCAATAGGCAATGAATAGGGGGAAAATTTGGCCACTTGGAATGTCACGTCACAAAAATTCTGTCCGATGCGACAAAAGTGGCCTACGTCCTTCATGGAAGTTCGATTCAAAATGAGTTGTCTAAGAGCGAAATCGGCCTTATAACCACAGAAAATCTCGACACAACTGTAAACTACATAGGTAGAGCAGCTAACTCCAAAGCTACTCTTCATTTTATGAGAAGGCAAATTCCTGCAATCACCTCAGAATTGTTCCTCAATCATAATAAAACGTACCTTTCTTAGAACGAATGCAGAGATGGGCAACTTAATGTGTGATGAAGACACAAAATAAACCTTACAAAGATAGAAACAACATTTGCGATTATTCTCTCTGAGCTCTAAGGCTTGATAAGGCGTTACAACACATTAAAAACACCGAGTCTCCCCAATATGACTACAAGGTGCCTAGAAGTGTCCTTCACAAAATTACACATCAAAGAGTAAACACCCGGGTGCGGACTTAATTCTTATCATCAAGAGTTGTCCCTACTTGGGAATTTCTCGCAGATGAAATGTCCACAGTAGGTATCAACATACACAAAGGATTAAGCAACCAGCTTGTGATGATCTGAGGTTATGTCAGCTGCTCTCTTGGTTTTCACATCCTACATGGTCCTTCTGAACTTTTTATTGATGCACATGTGATCGATTTGGTTCTCTGTGGTGTGACTCGATGAAATTCACGTAGCTTTTTGTATGAATCTGCGTAGGAATATTGTGCCTCATACTACCAGTTTGTTGAAAGCATATAGGTATGCAAATCTCTCAACATTTTCGTTCCTTCCTCTCAGTCCTTGTTGTCCCATGATGTTATAGCAATTCGTACGATATACTTCTTCGCGGGAGAACAAATGTTACTCCATAGACTCAGATAATCAAGAAAGAAGCAGATTCTAGGGGAAGAAGTATATTTGACACTGGCGTTGTGATATCGAAATCATATCCAGGCAAGAGGGATTACAAAAAACTGACGTCCCCGCAAGAGCCATGCGAAGAGGAGAATGGGAGTAACACGCTTGGTTAGCGAGAGACGGTCTTTTGTACAAATAAACAAGAGGTGTGCAGTATAACAGTTATTGTCAGAATTAAATGCAATGATAAATGTTTATATTTCAGCAGTTGTGGTTTCTTCGTTAAAGTAAACCACTAAGTTAGCCCCCCCGCCCCTAGAAAGGGTTCACACTTTCGATATGTGGCGGTTTCGTGAGGAAATGGCGGCTGGTCATTTAACGGGCGATTGTAGGGCGGAAGGGTTAATGGACAGGAAGCGACAAAAGCTCGATTTGTGCAGGAGACGCTTTTACGTTGAGCTGTACCAATAGTAGCGTTCCAAGTTTAGTTGGAAGTTTAGTTGGCATGCCACACCAGCGTGTCTCGTATCCAGAGTCTGTAGAACGCTTTCATAGGGATTCGTGCCAAAATATAAACTGCAGACGTAGGACGGGACCAAATTGAAAGTGCCACAAACGATCAGTTCGAAACCATTCGTATGCCAGAACATTCGAAACCAAAACATCGACTGAGCGCATTTTCAAGAGCGTGGGTGATCAGACCAGCTTTCACCAAAATTGACTGAAGTCGACGGTACCAACAGGTTGAAGGTCGTAGGCATGGGCTCAGGATGCAAAATGAAAGAAAAAGAGAAAGGTGTAGCATATATTTAGTACGAGAACAGGGTACTATCGCGTTTCCATTGTTGCGTGGGTGGTTATTCGAGAAAGAGCGTACAGGTAGGCGTACGCGGTGATCGGAACGCTAGACGATAGTCTCGTGCGTACCTCATGAGCCAGCAATGTCATCCGAAGTGATGGGCAGGGTGGTCTGTCGATTTGGACGTGAGACCGGAGTCTCATCCTAGATAGCGCAGATGTTAAGCTAAGTGTGACTGATGGGTCAGGATGGGCGAGGGGTGTGGCTTCAGCTAAAGCTTTTTTAAAGCTTTTTTTAATGGATTACCCGAAGTAAGTCGGTTAATGGTCTTAACTGTTCTGCCCCATGAGGAATGAAACGTCGGTAGAAGTTGACCAGACCGAGAAAAGCCTTCACTTCCTTGAGTGAGGACGGGACAGTGTACTCCATGATTGTACGTACTTTGTCTTCACAAGGTAGGATAACCTCATGCTCAATGATGTGATCCAGGAACCTTATTTCTGCCTTGCCCAGTTCACACTTGTCTGGGTTAACTATTATTCTGTTATCCGAAAAGGCGTTGGAATAAGAGCGTAAGGTGTTGACAATGTTCATCTACATTTGATGATGAATATAGATGAATCAATATAGACGTGAACAAAATCGAAGTCTCATACTATGCTATCGATAAACATTTGGAAAGTTTGAGCAACGTTCCGTAATCCAAATGGCATTCGTAGGGACTCAAAAAAACCGAAAAAAGTCATGATAGCAGTTTTCTCGTCGTCTTCAAGAGCGACTGGGATCTGATGATATGCTCGTACCAGATCAGTCTTATAATAGATAGTCGTGCCCTTAGGAGATGCCATGATGTCTTGTATGTGGGGGATTGGATAGCTATCGAAACGTGTTACTACATTTAATGCTCGGGTAGTCGCCACATGGTCGCATACTTATTCCATCCTTTTTGCGAACCATGTGGAGTGGTGAGGCCCAAGGTCTGTGAGAAGGACGAATAATACCAGTAGCGAGTAAATTGTCAAACTCACGTTTAGCGAAAGCTTATTTGTCCAATGTCAGTCGGCGAGGTCATGCTGTGACTGGTGATCGGCGGATGTGGTGTACCCCATGGTGAGTCACTGATAGATTCTCCTCGACTGGTTTAGTTAGCTGGGGGAATTTTTCGAATAAAGCGTGGAAAATGTCGTTACGCGAATGAAATACCCTTGTAATTCGGTACGCACCTGTTTGTTTGCTGTTCGACGAAGTATCGATTAGCTGCAGCCTACGTGAATTGACTAGCAATTCGTAGTGCTGTATTAAATCGATACCGAGTATGGCTGTGGGAACATCAGCAATTATGAACGTCCACAGATACTGACGTCGGTTGCTCAGGTTGACCAACAGCTGTCCTGTACCACAGGTAGGAATGACAAAGTCATTCGCAGCGCGTAGTCGAATCATCGTAGGTTGAGACTTGATGTTACCTAGTGGCAAGGCAGAATCTTGGGCACCTAGCGTTAGTGCGGACACCGTGCACGTAAAATAGGCGGCCAACCTGAGGTGAAGGGCCGACGAGTACGGCGGCGGTTACTCGTAGGGTGTGAAGTTTCCCGCCTTGTATGACCATGGTGCTCGACAATGACGGGCGCCAGACCTAAACGACTGGTGGAACCAGCACCAACCGGTACTCGCTTCCGAAAACGCCTTTTGGCTGGGCTTGGAAGATGCCCACTGGCTGCGAGTAAGTGCAGCCTTTCGAGATCGCGAACGGGCTCCTTGGACGCGGGGTTCAGGTATTTTGGAATGATCTCGAAAATTGGGACGGCTGTGAAAATAGCAACCCCTATCAATCCGAGCCTTCACGTGACTGGCATCGAGGTTCACGTTGTTATGTAACGTGTACGCAACTGTGTAGTTGTCTCGGTTGACGGTTCGCGCGGTTGCTCTGTCTGCCACGAGTAAAACCTGGGTAAGCGGCATGACCTCTGGCAGAGCGGTG